TTCGCTGGAAAAAATAACGACAACAACAACAAAAAAATACTAATTAAAGAAAAAGGAAAACGTTACGGTACTAAAGATTTAAGGTTAACATTACTGGCGTATATTAAATTTTTAAAAGGCGCAACGAAGCTTTAAATCATCCAGTAGCCGAAAATTTTATCATTTCTAACACGCGTTTTACTGAATCACTTTAATGTTACGTTGTTAGCCGGGCTGGTTAGTGTTATCTCAACTGCCTCTGAGAAGCCACTCCGGTTTCCACCGTTTTACTGCGGAAATCGAAAGATGAAATAATCGGCCGATTTGCAAGCCTTCATCCGAGGAGAATGGAACTGGCCAATATCCTGTCTCTCATGATCAAGAAACCCAGGTAAGGGGACTTTAGGGAGTTAACAACCAAAAAATTTCCCCGGAAAGCAAGATCCCGGATCTCCCTAGAAGCTTATTAAGCCTCGGTCAGTATTTATCCAGATTCGCGCCTGCTTCCTTGGGACTTTTTCTCCCTCACCTTCTCAGTCATGATATATTTTACCTCTATCTGAAAAACTGCACTGTCACTCCCCTAATGTTCTATATGGCATTTACCATTCGAAAATCACGCATTATACGCGCCATGAAGTCTGAGTAATGAAATAATTGATGTTCTGTTTTTCTTTGGCGCTTAACAACATCAGCCTGATGAATGGAATACTAAGTACCACATCCAATTCGCCAAAACATTCAGCTCGAACTCCTAAGCAAGGGTGGCTATCATTGCACTCCTATTTGAGTGTTGGTTTTTGTCGAGGGTCGAGGGTCGAGGATCGAGGGCCGAGGGTAGAATGTCGAGGGTCGAGGGTCGAGAAAATGCCGCGTGTTGTTTTCAAATCAGTTCAGTCAAGAAAAATTAACACAGTTCCGACACTTAACCAACCGAGAAACATTTCAACAGTCTTTTACACATTCTTTCGTTATAAATCAACACGACGATGTTGAACTTAAAATGTATTTTAAACATGAAAGATCAAACTTAAGTTGTAGTAATCGATGGTTAGGAATCAGGTTTATAGTGGAGATTATGACTCATGATATTGATGAGAAGAACCGCTTTCATCATGTATGTGAATCGGAAAAAGCCACTTTAGATGACCGGTAGTGTCAACAAAAAGAATCGCGTCGGATTATACCATAGAAATTGAAAATTGACTTGAGTAATACAGTAAACAAAGCTGATACTGAATTCAACGATTTTATTCACAGTTGCTTTGATACCATTCACCTGCGAAATTAAAAGTGAAAAGCGAGGAGAGCCCGAGGGGGTACTCCCCTATAAAGGTGACGGGGTTGCTCGTTGGAAAATTTCGAGAACACCCCTGAAAGGTACCAGAATCTTGCTTTATGGGCGTGTCCCAAATTCATTTGCACCCCTAAGAGGTACCAATTCATGCAACAACAACAAACTGAATATAACTGGCACTGCAAATTTTAATAGTAATAAAGATAACTTTCGAACACTTTCTTCTCAAGGCCATTTTGAAAGTATTGTCATAAATCCCCTAAAAGGTACGACGAGCACCCCTGTCACTTTTATAGAGAAGTATCCACCCGCCCTTCCCCGCCCGGGGAGGAGAGACGGCTGTATTCGCAGGCTTACAATGCAAACAGTAATGCGTGACACTGAAGGTCAACCAAAGCTCGCTCAGAGACGCAATGAAACAGCTTAGGTTTTTAAAAGCTTATTCAAGCTTTCAGGTGACAAGTGACGTAGCATGCTTGGAAACGTATAAAAATATTAAACCATTGAATTTGCAAGCACTCGTATCTTACCGAAGACTCGTCCCGCACTAAGCTGAGCTTAGGCTCCACTGATCGCTAAGTCTCGCATTCAGTAGATCCGGTAGCGCTTTGCGGTTATTAAAAAAAGGGTATTGTGACAGTACATCTCTCGCGTGACTCGGTCAAATTTTGCGTTCTACTCAAAGGCTTTGTATTAGCATCTTGGTGTTCCGACATAAACATTGTCTATAAAATTCGCAAAGAATGTTTTTACTCGCCCGTCATTTTCTCGACCCGCGACATTTTACCCTCGACCGTCAACATTTTATCCTCTACCCTCGACATTCTACCTTCGACCCTCCACTTCTACCCTCGGCCCTCGACCTTCGACCCTTGTCTGTAAAACCAGTGGCGTCGAAACACATATAGACTTACAGAAAGGCTAAGGCCAGGGTCAAATGTCTTTCCACAGGCGCCCCAAGCTCACGTTACGAGTGTGTTTTGTAAATTTACTTTCTCACAAGAGAGTCGGTGTCGCGTTGCAAGCGACCCTTGAGACTTTGTATCGAGAAATAGAATACTGAGGCCTAAGAACACTAAATATTATTTTCTTTTTACTTTTTTCTTATAAAATAAATAAGGGAGACTTACCTTTGATGTATTGCTGTGTTTTTTGGTGCGAATTCATCGATTCAGTCGGGTTTTTTTTGGCTGTTATTGTGTGACCCCTGTCACTCTCTTCATAATACGAAGTACTGGGTCATAACGTTTACACCGAAGTTAGATTTAGAAGGATTTGTATGGAGTCATCAGAGCATCAGAGAGAGACAATTTGCCCCACAAGGCTAGTAGTAGGCCTCTTGGATGTTTTTCTTTCAGAATATCCTGACGAATCCCATAATTTCACAAATGTAATTTTTTTATGACGTCACACTTTAGAACTCTATTTAGAATATTAATACTACCAACCTCAGACTATAGTCAAACCCCGCCTTACGGACACCCGCTTAAAACGAACACCGGCTCGTTATTACGGACAGCTCAGTTTGCTTTGTCCCTGGAGAAAGAAAGCCTTACATTTTCTCTAAATTCAAGCCGCTTAATACAGACACCCCGTTAATACGGACATTTTCTTTGGCCCCCTCAATATCCGTATCAACGCGCGGCTATTTAGAATTAAAAGATCCGTACTGTCTCCAAATGTAAGCAAGCTAGAACATTTAGATATAGCAATTCTCTACTTACAGCCTTCTTTACTGATACGTTGGATCGGAGGTCTACTTTTCGGATTTTCTTCTCTTCTTTCATTTCTCCTTAATTTGGGCCAGATCACAGTACCTACTCTCAGGCATGTTTCCAGTGGGTGGTTGCATTACGGTGCAGCAATAAGATTCAAAGATTCAAGATTCAAAGAAGCCGGGCTACTACGAGAATATATTTGAAGTACCGTGCTCAAATGTCGACGCCCCACTTTTCGTTACCGAGCGTGAGTATCGACTCCTACACCTCTCTACTGTGCGCAAATGTCGACGCTCCACTCTTCGTTACCGTGCGAAAGTATCGACTTTCCACGCCTCTCTACCGTGCGCAAATGGCGACGCCCAACTCTACGTTATCGTACGTGGGTATCGATTCCCCACACTTCTCTACCGTGTGCAAATATGGACGCACCACTTTTCGTTACCGTGCGTGAGTATTCACTCCCCACACCTCTCTACCGTGTGCAAATGTCGACGCCCCACTTTTCGTTACCACTCCTGAGTATCGACGCCCGACGCCTCTCTACCGTGCGCAAATGTTGACGCTCCGCTCTTCTTTACCTTGCGTTAAGTATCGACTCTCCACACCTCTCTACCGTGTGCAAACGTCTACGCCCCACTTTTCGTTACCGTGTGCGAGTATCGACTCCCCACACTTCTCTACCGTGCTCGAATGTCGACGCCCCACTTTTCGTTACCACGCGTGAGTATCGACGCCCGACACCACTCTACTGTGCTCAAATTTCAACGCTCCACTCTTCGTTACCGTGCGTAAGTATCGACTCTCCACACCACTCTACTGTGCTCAAATGTCAACGCTCCACTCTACGTTACCGTGGGTGAGTATCGACTCCGCACACTTCTCTACCGTGTGCGAATGTCGACGCCCCACTTTTCGTTACCACACGTGAGTATCGACGCCCGACACCTCTCTACCGTGCGCAAATGTCGACGTTACCACTCTTCGTTACCTTGCGTTAAGTATCGACTCTCCACACCTCTCTACCGTGAGCAAACGTCTACGCCCCACTTTCGTTACCGTGCGCGAGTATCGACTCCCCACACTTCTCTACCGTGTTCAAATGTCGACGCCCCACTTTTCGTTACCGTGCGCGAGTACCAACTCCCCACACCACTCTACCCTGTGCAAATGTCGACGCTCCACTTTTCGTTACCACGCGTGAGTATCGACGCCCGACACCACTCTACTGTGCTCAAATGTCAACGCTCCACTCTTCGTTACCGTGCCTAAGTATCGACTCTCCACACCACTCTACTGTGCTCAAATGTCAACGCTCCACTCTACGTTACCGTGGGTGAGTATCGACTCCGCACACTTCTCTACCGTGTGCGAATGTCGACGCCCCACTTTTCGTTACCACGCGTGAGTATCGACGCCCGACACCTCTCTACCGTGCGCAAATGCCGACGTTACCACTCTTCGTTACCGTGCGTTAAGTATCGACTCTCCACACCTCTCTACCGTGCGAAAATGTCGACTCCCAACTCTACGTTACCGTGCGTGAGTATCGACTCCCCAGACCTCTCTACCGTGCGCAAATATCGACGCTCCACTCTTCGTTACCACGCGTAAGTATCGACGCGCCACACTTCTCTACCGTGCGCAAATGTCGACGCTCAACTCCACGTTACCGTGCGTGAGTATCGATGCCCCACAATTCTTTACAGCGGGCAAATATTTACGCTAAACACCTCGTTACCGTGTGCCGTGAGTACTGAAGTAATCTTTTGCCGTATCTTGTATCCTTTCTTTTTAAGAGAATGAGGAGTGGAGGAAGTGGTTATTTGCTCTTTTGGCTCAATGGATGAGAGCTTGTTCATTCGAAGCAATGGTGTATATCTACATGTTGTTTTGGACTCTTTCGAAGTAGTATTGAAACCGTGCCGTTTGGTACACACGAGACTCAAAACAAAGTCAATACTTAACAAGCTTTTTATTTTCAAAATATGCAATTTTTCTTTTTTACAATTTCAATTCTTTAAATACCCTCCCACTCTAAAGGTCTTCAAAGTTGTCATGCAGTTAAATACTTTCAGTGATAATACTTCTTGGCTTACAAACGATATACTCCCAATTCTTTAGAGTGCAATCTTTTCACAGAGAAACAGAAAGAAAAACGCTAACTCTCTTCACACTCTTAAAGTAAGTATCGGAACACATTTCCTTTCAATCAAATTCACAACTGTAGTACAAATATCCACATAACTTCTACGGTACAATCAAAATTTAATCTAAAACTAGAAGAGAGGCCCGTGCTTGCACAATGCAGATTATGTACAAGGTGGTTCACATTTAACACAAGTTATAATTTAAAAACTTTCAAGACGAACTTTCCTATTATTGTTTATTTCGATCTGTACGAGATAAATTATTCCACCTCGCATTTTAATATTCAACGTCGCTTTTGCAAGACAAGATTTCATTTAAATTCGGTAATTACTATTTTCAAATAACGTCCACTAACGAACGAAAGCAAGTACCGATAGGTTTTCTGAGGTAAGGCAATGTGTTAAGCTCCTCGACAAAAGTTTCACGTTATGTACAGTAGATTTTTTTTCTTTTTACACTAACGGCCACGCATTAACTAAGAATTCACAACAGTACTCCAACTAAAACATAAACGGCTTCGGCTGCGTCATTTTCTTTCCTAGCTTTTTCGGACCGGTTTCCGAAGGCTTAGGAATCGAAGACACGACATCTTTCGGGTTTGGCTTCGCCACATCTTCAGCTGAGCCATGCCAGCTTCGGGGGGCCCTCTTCTTGTCCACGACCTTCAAGGAGTTCCTTTCTCCCTCGTTATCCGACAAGTTCCCACCGGGACTCTCCTTGATACGAAGTCGTGACATGTCCGCCTGGGCTCGGGCGGGTTTGGGTTTTTCCCTGGGACTGTTCACTCTAGCAGGTTTTCCCTTTGGTTTCATCAGACCTTTCTTAGCAGCTCGTTCGAGAACTTCCTGTGCTGTTTCGACGGGTTTCTGTAAACAGCATTATAGAAAACGTTCGTTTTAGCTTTCTCGACTGTGGTAGGACTAGCTCAGTTGGTAGAGCGCTTAACTGGATTCGCGGGGTTGCGCCAACACTCACAGTCTAATAAATAACTGACTTAAAATGAAGGAATTGCCTTTATCTCGCAAACCGATAGAGCTTCGTGGCTTGGATGACCACGTAAAATCGCGGTCCCGTCTTTAGCCACACCTCAACTGTCAGGGCATTTCTACCGAGCACTTTCTCCACACCCTAGCCCCTCAAAGACGATATTTGTAACACTATGGAGGCTTCCGTAGTTTTTAAATTTCGCGGTCGATGAGTTTGCTACGCGTCAGTAATGGCAACTTTTGTTTTGCGAACAACAGAGGCACTTGCCCTCAGACAATGAAAATGGCCATAAAAAGAGCGAAAGTTCATGTCATTGTCAACTCAAAATGCACCCAAAGTTTGAAACGTAAGTTTTTACCTGTCTCTTAAGAAGAGCCACAAACCCTCCATTCATAGCAGCTGAAGGCTCAAGATTCAGATATCGTGTTTCTGGTTCTGTGACAAAGGAAAAATAACATAACATTAGATGCAAATACATAATTTAACAGACACGATAGTAATAATTTTTAACTTGTTACTGAAAAAATAGACAATGGTTTGAGATGTGGAATGGAGCATTTATCTGAAATTTTCATTGGGCTGCCTGTGGCGCCCAATTCTGGAATGGGCTTTCTCTATTTAAAAACGACAAAATGGCGGACGGCTCACCCTGAAGGCGTTACGTGTCCCACTCCCACTTCAATGGGGCCAATTTCTGCTGGGAGGGGAAGGGTCATTTCGTGTCGTCTGGCGAACAGATTTGGAAGTCGATTTGGGACGAACACAAAATTATTGCCTGGAGTTATTGGTCCTATATCCGCGCCGAGGGATTATCTAAGTACAGTATTCGATGATGTTATTTTAGCCTGTGCGGGAGCTGCAGAAACAATGCCCCCCCCCCCCCCCCCACGGGAAAACCTTCAACTTGTACAGGTTGTTGCGATTCTCTCCCTGCGTGTGTAAAGTCCTTCCCGAATATGCTATTTGTAGGTCAAATAGAAACATATTCACTTGCCATGGATAGTTAGAAGGGCTTTAAATGCAATATCCGACAGAAACAAAACTGAAACTCACTCTTCTTTAAGAGTTTTAAGAAACAGAACATTACTGTAAAAATACCGTTTTTAAAAAAAAACACTGGAATTGATCCTGTCACGTTTCATAAGCGAAGAGCAAAAATAATTTTGGTTATTTGGGAATTCCGGTTGGTCATGTTATACTGTCATGCTATATTTAAAAATAATGCCAATCGTCTCGTTTCAAAAGGCAAAGTATATATTTCACTATCCCATTCCACCGGTTAGGAGTAGCTACACACTCCATCACAAAAAAAGTGTCTTTACAATCTATATTTCTCAAAATATTTAACCACTGCATCGCGCAGTCGGCAGCCCAATATACCCCCCCTCCCCCAACCCCCGGGGGAAGGGGCTCAAGGAAAGTCTGGGTAAAGATGTGCCGCCGAGGCCTTCAAACCCCGACCCTGTTTAAGACAAAAATCGCTCATTTTGCTACCCTGTTTAAGACAGGAGACACTACTTTCTGACCCTCCCATTTGTTTTGTTTTGCATACTGAATTAAGTAATTTTTCACACTAAAATCGTGGAAACCAATACTTAGGAAAAAAATTATTGGTATTTCAAATGTAGAACGTTCATGCCAAGTCTTACAGTCTTTGAAAGGCTTCCAGTCCAAAAAGACACCCTTTTCAATACTCAAGACCCTGAAAACTATACCCTGATCAGCGGCACATAGCCGTATAGGCCAAATAAGGGAGTGCCCCCCCCCCTCCCCAACGGGATGTACCCCCACTCACGTGGGGATCTTGTTTACTGAAAAATGATCACTCAGCCGTTCTCAGGACGTTTTGAGATGCCATTCTTATCAGCAATAATGATTCAGTGACCTCATGGAAGAATGGTACCTTAACCCTACATATAATTGAAGACACTTTCCTAAAGATTTTTTTGTCATTTTCTAGCTCAAGCTGTCGCATTCTCCCCAGAGCCGCCTCATCTCCTTTGGGCACGTTCAAACGGATTCTTGAACATTTTTATTCCTCTTTTTTTGCAACAAAAACAACAACATAAGCTTTATTTGCATGGCCATAATTATGTAGTTAGAGTATTGCAAAAGCTTTAACATAAAGTTACAATTTATAACAAAGATAATGCAATGATTACCACAGTCAATCAAGTGTCATCAGCATGATTTGATACATAATGAGACAAATTTCAACAAATGTGAATTTACGGAAAAATTCTGTGAATTCATCAATTTAAACATTTATACTACTACATGAAAAATGGCTGCAATTTGATTGGCTTAGAGCAAAAGTATTTCAGCTTAATTTGAAATACATGTAAAAATTACAAACCTTTTGCGGGTAGTAGTATAAACAAATAATAGCATGATTTGTACGTGATATTTGGCATAAATATCACTCGTGATATTTCAAAATTGTCTCAAATTTTTACGTATAACAATTTCGAAATATCACTGTCTAGTGGTATTTATGCCAAATATCACTACAAACTCATGCTATTACCTATACTACTTCTGTGTAAGATAGCTGATTAAAGTCGACAAAAGTTTGTTGGATTTGATTGTGGAATTTCTCCCTTGGGATTGAATATTTTGGACAATGGAAGAGAAAATGAAATTCGTCTTCAATTATACCAGAGTTACAAATAGGGCAGAATCTACCGTTGCGGGAAGTTTGATTATATCTTCCAGTTTCAATAATGAGTTTGTGGTTACTTATACTAATTTTCACTAAGTCTTTCCTATTGGTTGAATTTCTAATTAAGTCTAGATAACTTGAAATTTTATAATCATGTTTAAATAAGCTGTAAAATTGCAGTTTCTTAGAATGTCCAAACTGAGGCCCGAAGGGCCGAGAAAAAAATTTTGGGGGGACCAGGCCCCTCCTTATCTCAGGGCAGCAGCTCAGAGTCGACAGCTGCATAAATCAGGACGCTAAAAGATGGCGATTAACACGGCTTTTAAATGACCGGAATCCTTCATCATTGATTACTCCAAACACACTGTCTAGGAGTTCATTCCAAGTTTTGACTACAGTATAGATGAAAGTCCTATCAACAGAGTAGGTTCTTGAGACTGGTACGGTACAGAGAGTGCATGACTCAGCATTGACAGACTGGATCGAGTTGATCCTATTCTCATTTCGGATTTTAGTCGTTACATATCACTGCAATACATGCTCTGGCATTCTTGCCCCCTTAGCTCACGAATAGGAAGGAATCTCTAGCTTATTGACCAGGGCCCAGTTGTTCGAGCGCCGGTTAGCGCTAACCCGGGGTTAAATTTTAACCCGGGTTTCTTTTTCTTTTTACCAAAAGCACTTTCTCGGATAATTTTCTCTATTTTTTTAGCATATCCATTCATCAAATTGTAGGCAAAGAGAATTCAACTGAATTGGCTTTTTAAGCTCTCATAACTGACTTCAAAATTTGCACTAACCCTGGGTTATCTTAACCCAGTTTCGAACAACCCGGCCCAGCACCTTAAGTCACGTGTCCCCTAATCTAGGTCAAATGACGTCACAGCTAATTGGTTTAAAAGGGAATGCTGGGGCGAAGGTTGCCAAAATGGCGAGATTTGAACGTTTCAAAAATTGTAGAAAAAGCGTTTGCTCGACTCGCAAAATGTTTAAGCAGAAATTCTTTTAGTTATGCATAGTTTCAGTTAAGAAAATAAGGTTATGGGCACTTAAACACTCAGTGTTTATCATTTTTTAATGTTTATCTGTTTAATGTCGATATGTTTTTCTTAAACGCAGGCAAGAGAGGATAAAGGACAAGAAAATGCATCTCCCTTATAGGCCCTATCCCCATCTGACAGTTGAAAGTAATTTGCATAACCTCAGAGCGCATGCTCTCCAGCTGACATAGCCCCTTTAAGTTATTTTTCATTTTTACACGGTGTCCATTTTCCCGCGGGTAATGTTATCTCGCGCGTCGAGTGAAAGATTCTTGGGAAGGAAAATTCCAAAATGCTGGTGAATGCGAAATTAGAATAGGATCTTTAAGTTTTTACACTAAGCTGTCGAAATCGTTTCCACATAAAACTTAGCTGTCAACATGGGTAAAATTTGTGAGATATGATTGGCTATTACTTAACCCGCTTGGGAATCAAGGTTCTCAGAAGAGATCTAAAAATAACTTAAGAGGGATTACGATTGGGATAGGGCATAAGGAAGATAAACTCTCTGGTCCTTCATCCTTTCTTGGAGCGGGATATTCTAAACAGCAAAAACCTATGAATGGAGCAAAAATATTTACAAAAATCCAAGAAAAAATGCACCAGTTTTAGTTAGCCGTGGCAGGATTAGCTCACTTGGTAGAGTGCTTGACTGCAGAGCGGGAGGTCGCGGGTTCGATTCCCGGGGAAGGACCAATATTAATGGTCATAAAATGACTGAGAAATGAAGGTACTGCGCGCCTTTGCCCTGCAAACGGCTACATCTTCAACTGGCTCGGATAACGATGTAAAGTGGCGCCACAGTCTCCAGTAGGAGACTTAAAAAATATGGTCCACAATTAGTGATGTCCTGCTAAATACATTGACACTCAGGTTAACTGCATTTTTTAACAATAGCAACAAATAAGAAGTTAAAGTAATGCACACTAACTTCCCAACCCTACTCAAATAACTTATTTTTAGTAAATTTACCTTTATGGGTCAAAGATATCTCCTTTTCAAGTAGACCATTAGAAATCCTTGCTGCTTCTCTCAAACTCTGCGCAAGTTTCGGCAAGGCTGGAGTCAGTTCAAAATAGCTTGACTGCTTGCTTCGTTCGTCTTGGTTCATTTCCATGGCTTTCTTAACCACGTCCATATTTTCCGACTTGTTAATAGATCTTGTGATATAAATAATCGCTTGGACTTGAGGGAATTTCATCGCATGTCTCAAAAAACTCAAGTGCTGGAACGCCATTCCTTTTACCTTTAAATAACATTTAAAAAAAGGAAAATTGTATTTGGAAAGATTTTACACACCTAGTGACAAGGTAATTGCCTAGTCCACTGTTTACCGTTCTTAAGTCGAACTATGCTGTTTCACCTTCGTAAGTAAATATCGCTTTTCATTTCCTTTTTCAGTTTCACCTTCATTTCTTCTACGAGTTTAGAGTCGTTTAAGCTCGAGTTTTTTTTTATGTTCAATATTCTACGAAAAATATCTACATGTACCAACATGCAAATTCACGAGAAAACAATACAAAAAAGAACTGAGAACTAGAAGCTAAGTGAATAGTTATTGCCGAACGGGTTAGGCTGTTTCGTTTTTCAACAGCTAAATTTCTATAATAATAATAATCATCTTTATTGAGGAAACTTTTTCATAAAAGATATGGTTTTCAAAAAGGACCTCAAAACTAGATATATATTATAAAAACAAAAAAAAGCTATAAAATTGCAAAAGGATTAAAAAGATACAAAAAATGCATAAAAAATTAAAAATAAGTATAAGTAAAAATTAAACGTAAGTAGCTATATTAAAAACTTAAAAACATTACGTTTAAAACTATTTACATTCCTTGAGTCTTTGATCGTCTGACTGAGGGAGTTAAAATCGGAAACGGCATGATATTGTGTTCTTTGCTTCCCCAATTTCTTTTGACACGTGGTAATCTAAAATTGCCTTTGCTAGGGCGTTATGCCTATGAAGTACGTCTTGTCTAATCAAGTTCATATCGTGATTAATTAGGCCATTGATGCAGATGAATAAAACACACCTTCTTTGAAATCGCCTTTTCTCTAGAGGCAGCGTACCTTGAGAACGGCTAATGCCTCAGTGGAGGATGAGTAAATGGTCTATTTAAAATAACTTTAGCGGCCTTATTTTGCAAAACTTGCAAACTAGACATAAGGGTAATATTATGTTTATCGCCCCTTACTAGATCAAATATTCAAAAGGGGCATAACAAGACTTTTATAGAAAAGTAGACACGCCCTGAAAGGCAATAAATGCTTTATACGCTTGAGAAGCCCAAGCCTCTGATTGATTTTCCCAGTTAGGTGTTCAATATGATCGGTCCATGTGAAATCCGAAGATATATGTATACCGAGGTATTTAAAGCTGCGAACATTACTTATACTATGATCTAAAATTGAAACAGGCCTTGTTTGAATACCGATAACCATTTACCAAATTTTTGTTTTGTCCATTTCCCAAGATCGTTATTTAACTTAAACCTTTGAGGATGTACCATAACAATAAATTACAGTGTCGTCTGCAACTATTTTAGCAACTAAAACGCTACATTTCCCTGCACTTATCTTTTATACTGCAGAACTGCAAATAGCACGCGGTCATCAAACAATATTCGACGAAGTCTCAACTGCGGCAGGGTGTGATCTCCGATTAAAGCTAGATAATGCCAAAGACAAAGAAAAATTTTTTGCAGCTCTGTTACTGAGTTGACATGAACAGTCACAGAGCGCAACTAACCTTGCTGGAGTCGACGTTACCGCGGGCAAGTTCTTTGATGGAATTAGTGACACCCTCTTGCAGAACAAAGTCAACAGGGTTGACAACTCCTGATTTGGAACAAGGAACGTTAACGACGATTATTCGAACTTTTTTTAAAAGCTCGTCTGTTGGAAGGGCGTCGAGGAAGCTCTCTTCCTGCAAGGCGACATCTGCGTTTGTCGTTAAGGTTAAGATATTAAGCAACTTACATGTCTATCTCCCCTCTGCAAAGGCCCCTTAAGCAACGACGACGGCGACGGCAACGAAAACGGCAAAAAAGCAATAGGTTTGGATTGGCAAAACAACAACTTTGCGCTTGCATCACGCTTTTTTGTATATTTCTCAGCCATCATTGCACGAGTACAACGAGAAAGTCCAGAAGAACTGCGCAAATAACCTCGGGCCTCTTTCTTAGACAAATGCCCTCTATAATTTCAGAATGGGGCCACTGTGGTCCTCACTGGCTTATTACTTGAATAAACTCTGAAAACGACATATCCTATCTCAAAACAGACGCTGTACCTAGGCTAAGTATGGGAGTGCCCCTCCCCCTCCCCCCGGGGAAGGTATCCGATAAATCATCGTTGTAACGTATCGTCGCAAATCGTTGTAACATTTATGAAAAGAGCTTAAGAACGTGTTCAATGAAAAGGATACTCCTGGCTGCCATTCTCTCTAGCTTGTCTTCTATCATTTCGTGGCTCTCTTGCGGAACGCCGAAAGCAAACACTTTCCTGTCAGGATGAATCAGTGAGGACAAGTGGGCCGTCAAATTCCCTGAAATGACACAAGAGGAAACATTGATTTTGGTTGGTTTGCATAACGAGACAACACTGCTACATGTGGCAGCGATCATTGCTGCGATAATGGCTGATATTTTTTCTTTGCTACCTGATCGCGGAGGGCGTAATTTACAGAGTTATAACGTCACTCATTTCACTCGTTTTTTTCTAAGCCCGGGTGGAAGAACCCACCCGTGCTTAAAACCTTTCGTCGCGCCTTTTCTCTCGACCCAACTGACTGTCCCTGGGTCTCCGGGGATGACACTTCAACTAATGTAATCCCTATATATCCGAATCCTGATAAAGGTACCCCTTTCAGGCAGCGCCATCCAGTATACGCTATTATAGCGACTGCGCCCCCCTCCTGCCTTCCCATGGTAAGGAGTGTAAGACATACCAGACTCCGCATGTGTCTGAATCAAGTCATCTCCTTCGCCTAAAACCGACTTAACATCTGCGCCGGGAATAAGCTGAAAAGTCTTCTCTTTCTGCGATGCAAACTCCAACACTATAGAATTTACCACCTCGGCAGCTGCTATAGATGACTTGTCCTGTGAATATTAAAAGACACGATTGTTCTTATGCAAAGATAAAACGTTTATCATGTCATGAGTGTGGACAGAAAATTAGCCCAAGAAAACAGCCGCTTCTCCTCGCTCTTCGCCGCTAGGGACGTTTCGCGAGGAGGAACGTCTGCGACTCGGCGACAGAAATTCCATACTGATGACGTAAATCAATGTTTACATAATAAATCCGGTAGTCATGGGGTTCCAAATGCAAATTAGTTCAATTTTACGTTTCTCCTGGTCGATTTTGGTAAAGTGTCGTGTTCATTTTCGAACGAGCTCCAGCAAAACTCAACTGCTTCTTCTACAGAAGACTATATTCCGCAAATATTGACTGTTTTGTTAGAGATCCATCGCGTTTACATTTGACCTTTGTGACCTTTTGTCTGTCATCCGTAAACAATAGCTAAAACAACGTAACTACTCCGTCGTCCTATCAGCGCTTTTGACCGGATTCCGGACAGATTTTACGTCATCAGTATGGAATTTCTGTCGCTGAGTAGCAGACGTTCCTCCACGTGAAACGTCCCCAGCAGCAAAGAGCAAGGAGAAACGACTGTTTTCACAGGCTAACAGAAAATAACTCTCCTACTGGATTCACCGCCACATTTACTTACAGATTTGTGAGCATCCCTAGTGTTTTCTGGCTATCGTACAGTACGGGTCACGCGCACTAAAGCATTACAAGCGTGTTTCACACGTGTAAATCCGCCACAATACACGCAGTTTAAACAAGATAGGCACGTGCAAAAACACGTGTGCAAAAAATACACGCAAACAGACGAGAAAAATACGCGCAAATTATCATAAACTGCGGGTAAAACTTTTACTCAAAGTTTGCACATTGCGTACATTACGTTAAGCTACAGTAAAACGGGCAAGAAAGACGTGCAACTTGTTTTCCAACATTGCCGCAGAACGAATTGGAAATGTTAAAGGTTTTAGGTTGCTGCGCGAGAGACACTCCATACACGGGAGATATGTCAGTTGCTGAAAAACAATTTGCCTTGGGTCGGTAAAACGCGCAACATGTAGAGATTTTGTTCCAAAAAGTGGAACTATGTACAACTACAACTGGTAGCTACGTAACCTGGCTGCCACAAACTGATTTGTTGCAAGAGAGGTTGATTCATAGTTGGTAAAACGTACAACTATCGAACTCGTCTTGCAGCAATGTTGCAAAACAAGTTGCACGTCGGCAAAACTCTGTGGAGTAAAAATCCATTAGAGGTTTAATTCCAATCTTTCAAAGAGCATCACATTTCCTTACATTTGGGAATCTCCCCAGGATTTTAAAAACCTTCTAGATGAAAACATTGCGCATATAATTATTTGTTCCTGTTAATAATTCAACGTTTTTTTTTTTAACAATATTAAGAGTAAGATCTATGATTCATGCTCCTGAAATGCCTCACAAGTAAGAATACATTGTTATTCTTTGTTTTAAAAACAAGCTAATGACAAACCTGTATCGCCAGCTTGCCATCTATCACCAAGTCATGATCATACAGTTGAAACTTGATTGTTGGTGAGAACACAAACAAGTTATCAAAATGTGGATCCTTCATAAAACAGCGCCCACTTAGACCAGTTTCATCATCTTCTGGTGAAGGCAAGCTATCCTCCATTAAGAAACCCTCACTCGTAAGTGTCTCTAGTATATCACTATAAGATGCCTTCCACGTGTTCACTCTTGCATAAACCGGCTGTTGTGCTGCATATTGTAATTTGTCTTGCTCTTCCTTCGGAAGTAATGCTTCCACACTTATTGCACAGTCTCTTATTCTACTGCGGGCGAGGGCAGCACGAAGTTTGATTCTGTGAGATACCATAGCTTTCTGGATTTCTAAGATGTGGGGAATGCTGTTTTCTTTTTCTGGTATCTCCACTTTTTTATTTTTAAACCGTTCAGTTCCAAAATAAAATCCGTTCTGTTGGTAGTCTAACAGCATCACCATGACACGATGTTTATGGTATGCCTCTAACTACAAGATAAAATGAATATTATGCTTTAAAATTATTCAGCAATGGAACTTACAGTTCAATCTCTCTGACACCTCCATAATATCAACACCTCCTTATTGCATACAGTACATAGAAACATAGTCTGTGTTGCAGATGTAATGTAACTACGTCTGTGAAGTAGAACCAAGATCCTTGTTCTTGGTTCCCAATGGACTCAACTGCAATTACCCAAAGTGCCTTTCAAATTTCCTTTCAACCAGTTGACAAATTGACAAATGACTTTTTTAACAGGCCGAACATGGCACATAATTAAATCCTGGTACACAGCAGGTGGGGCCCAGAACAAGACTTTTGGCATTGTTTCACAGATGGCAGGGGCAGACCGAGGATTTTACATTAGCACCCATCAGGACTGCGAACAGCGCACTTTTTGCGGGAGTTTCAAGCGCATGCAAGATTTTAAGAAGCTGAGATGCAATCTTAGTGCATTTTGGACCCTTAAATTTAGCAAATGCCTGGCTTCCATATCGAACATGCAATACTGAAATATTTAATAAACCACAAAAGAGGGGGCCGGGCCCCCCTGGGCCCACCCCTAAATCCGCTCTTGGATGGATTTAACTGGAGTTTATTTTAGTCTGTAGCACACACTGATAGAAACCATACAATCCATAACACAGATACTCCAATAAGTAAAGATGACACTGAGCTCCATCGCTTTGAATTCAACATATTCAGTGGAAGAATGATTGTCCAGGGAGCATACTAGTCCTCAATAGGACTGTTGTTGACAGTGACTGACATTTCTACAACCTGTTGGGTAGTCATCTTCAGAGACATTACAGTGAGTTTTATCATGTCAGTTGATGGTATAAAAATCTGCTAATTGACCTGATTGGTCAATTATTACGCTGCAATGTTATTGGAATTCTGTCAGTTAAGCCGTGATGTTATTGGCTACGAAGGCTCATAATCCAGTCGATCTACTAAGTGACAAGGCAGGTAAAAGACTATTAATCACCGAAAACTTTTACCATTTTTAAGGAAATAAATTATCACTATTAATTTTAATAATTATTTAATTTTTAAATTTTAATTTATTTTAATAAATTATTTAATTTTAGTCAAATTATAAATATCAGCCCCCCCCCCCACCCCCCTTGTGGAGCATAAACCATGGAGGAACCATCCCTATTCAAATGCATGTAATCTCCCTTTTTGGGTGACATTAGGGTTGTTAGCAGCACCCCATCCCCTCTTTATCATTATTATTTTTTTCACTCTTGTCCCATCTTGAAAACAAGAGAGTGTTAATTGTCACAGGAAAAAAATATTTCAACTAATTTTGTGTGGACAAAAAGGCTGGATTTTGCTCTGACTGAGTTATATATTCTATAGTTTCAGGAATAGATAAGTGGTGTGATGAATCATTCACTCCAAAGACAAAACATTACTCAAAATTGTATAATGAAATTTGTTTTGTACTTTTTGCATGTCATTATGGCAGACACTATCCTAAGTTATTAAAAATTTTATTTCCTGAGGCACATAGAAAGCTCTTGAGCCTTCATTAAGGTTGGCGAGGTGTGAGGTGATAACTGACAAATCAAATTGCCGTGAGTAAATATTATGAAAGTGAGTTTTAATTTAAAATAGAAGCAGCACACCTGCCTGTAAAAAATATTTTTAAAATTTTCATTTTTCTGAGTAACTGGCCCACAGATTATAATAATCAAGCTTTGCCGCTATGACTAAGACTGCATTTTATACTAGCTAACATGAATTTCTGACTTACCTTGAAGTAACTTGAGAAAAAATAACTATCCAAGAGGATGTCATCTAACACAGACTCATCTATGAAATTAAAGGATTCATTTTTTTTCGGTTTTCAACAACGATATTTTCATAGAAAAAAATTGGTAGAAAGAAGGAAAAAAGATTTTAGGTACCACCGGAAATGCTCATGGGATTGTAAATTTAAAAATTTAATAGTTGGCATAATGAGGAATCGCCAAGTCCTGCTGTTTAAACAGGAAAGTTCTGAGACAATGACTTTAAATTATGCATGTAAGGCTGAACTATAATTTCGATGAAACAACTTTGCACGGCGGGAGAAGAGATGTTTTTAACGTTGTAAGCTGCATGACATTAAAAAAAAATCGCCTCTTGTTGCACTTCCGGTGGGCATTTTGGAAGAAAAGAAACCAAAAAGCCAAGCTGAAATAATATATAAACAGCTCTTAAATGGGTCAATGGATTTTTCTTTTGTTCTAAAACTTTAAACAACAAAGACGGTATGTTTACTCTGTGATCATTATACAACCACGAATTTTTTCTTGCTTTACATGTAGCAGTAAGCTCAACATAAAATCTTTAAAGCGGCATCGTCCTCACCTCCGAGCTGGATATTTTTTTGTCAGTAACTCATTCTTGTAGCACTGACCTAATAATCTAACTTAAGAAAATAACTTAAACGTGCCTCCTTTCATTTTTTTCCTGGATACTAAGGTATTTCACTCAAAGAAAATTATCTTTGCAGAAAAATTCTCAAACAACCGCCCGGGAACGAACCGTTGCCATAGCGCTGAAATGAACAAGAAATGGAACGTCTTTGCTCTAACGAGAAAGTAATAAAAAAAATAAAATTCAATAACTAGTCATGGATCAACTTATAAATTTCAATGAGCTAGCTACTAGCTGGCTTATCAGCTTCGCAAATAACTTAAGCTTAACTCACATCGCTTCGCACCGAAAGCCAAACTGTACGCTCGTCGCCTCTCCAAGTCTTCATCGAAAGTTGGGAGCTGCGAGGAGACGATTTCACCTTTTAAGTGACGATAAATTTCTGCTGCTTTTTCGTAGATAGAGTGACTAAATGTATCTCGCTTCTTTCTTGTAGCCACCGAGGTTTCACTCTGGCTGATCCGCGCGTTCGATACCGCGCTTCCATGCTGCGACTTCACGCCGTTCGTAGCATTGAAACTGCTTGTAGATTTCTTCGCCTTGCTCGTTGGCCCACTGTTTTCTTTCTTTAGCATTTTCCAATGCAGAACAAAAGTAACTGATCGATTGACCGAGAAATCATTAATGTTTGGGTATTACGTTTCGCGGTTATTGACTCGACATGCACAGTATCACCAGGGAATTTGGTAAACAATGTGTTACGTCACAATGGTTAATCACCTCTGGGGACCTTTGTACAAAAGAAACTGGAAGACACAACACTCGACTGGACACTTAGCGCTAAAGATCACTCTTTTCTTTAAAAAATACATAGCTGATGGTGTCGACATGAAAAATTCTCCAATCTGGTGTTGTCTTGACCTTTCCGATATTGTGGATTGGCACGAGCGATGACTATAACGTGAGTTTGTTTTGGCGTGCATTTTGTCCTTTGTTCTAAACAGGGTAATAAAATTGAGGGTGTTGTCCTGGACAGGGTATGTATTTTAGGAATGTTTTGTCCTATACAGGGTCGCGGTTTCAAAACCTTAGTGGCTCCCACCCAAATATTGCTCGAGTACCCCGCCGAGCTCTGGGATGGGACGGGGGAATTCCACACAACAGCAACAGATTAGATCTGTACAGCCACCGAAATGATCCCCAAATCGACCCCGAAATGATACTGACCCTGAAATGATCCCCATTCCTCTTCACGTCGTCTCCGAAACGGATCCCCAATTAAATATATCCTAGAACTATGGATCGAGCAAAATGCACAACATTAATAGGCCATTTCCGAGCTGTATCAAAAAAGTGCTCAGCCTTTGATATGGAAATTATTTTTCATTCTTATGCAAATAAAACTCATTTTCACAAGAAAGCTTTTGCACTTGGCCTCATTTTGAAAGTGACGGTTTTTGGAACTCGGAAGTGGTCTATTAAAGTTTCACAATTTAAACTGGATGAAACGAAAAAATTTATTTAATACACAAACTAGTATATTTTTAGTAACACCATAAACCGCAACTGAACATCACGAAACATAACATTTTTTATTACATAAACACCAATGAAATACCAGGTGAGCTTTTGCGCGAAACTTGGTATCTTCACATGTGAAAATAACATGTTATCTTCACATGTAAAAATGTCAGCGTTGCTATGGCTACATAATAAATCGCGGCTTTCACACCAAAAAACTATTAAAGCGACTTGGTTTGGTAGTTCATTGGTGTTTATATAATAAATAGAACATTACATGGCCGCTTGGAGATACGAAGTTTCTCTTCTCTTCGCTGCGCTCACTCGTGAAATATTTTTCAACACTCGAGGAGAAATTTCGTATCTCCAAGCGGCCATGTAATATCCTCTATGTATTATATTTACTTACGTGATTATAGTGGAGAAAACTACTTGGATGTTAAATTCTTAAAATGATGTTAAAACCGCCTTGGATAATGAATTTTTAAAATGGTATTTTAACGCTTTTTGAAATTTTAAAATGATCTTGAGGATGCAAAAGTAGACATAAAGGCGATTAGATGACAAAAGCGTTAAAAAAAAAAATCACATTGGCTGTAGTAAAATGTTAAATGCGATTCAAGAAAGTAAACGCTGCAACAGACTTGTAATAATTCCGTAGCGGAATACCACTAATCGGGGATCAGAGTCGACGTGAAGAGAAATGGGGATCATTTCGGGGTCGGTATCATTTCTGGGTCGAAATTAAATTTCGCAAAAGGGCAAGGCGTAGATTACGAGGAGTCCCCCGACTCTCTCACCTTTCCTGAGGGATAGTAGATCGAGCGAGGCATGAGAGCCCGAGTGAAACTTACCCTGTGTGAGCCGAGTGGGCGATTTTCACGGGAGTTCGCGTGAGGGATACCCTGCGAGCAGTGGTTTCTCCAGGCCGGACGCTACGCTACGAAAGCTTTGCTCGCAGGGTAGGTGAGGGACTACTTGTAGTCTAGGAATGGAGCGGTAACTATAACAAGGGAGTTGAAATCTTGGAATGCGGGTTTGGACTGTAATTGAAAACTTTTACTAGTTTGCCTAGAAGAAATTAAAATTCCTCCAAAATATAGACCCCAAAAAACAGACCTTTTCACTTTGCATGTTTTGTTTTCCCATTGCATACCATGGGTTGTTACTCCGGACAAATGCGTATGCGTGCATAACTAACGACAGGACAAAAGGGGCATTCCATTGAGAACCTCCCGCGATCTAAATTGGGAAAATAAAACCCATCAGTTACAAATGCATATTTTCTTTCCTGGCTCTTCCCCCTTAACGAAAGTCTTTGATCGCGTGCTTTGCACGTGCTGACGCTTCTCCATTGCCAGCTCTTTGGCAGAAAGGTAAGTTCTTTAGAGACAAATGCATGCAGTAGATTTCTTCAATATTGGCTCAGTAAAATCTAGGGGTGAACAAACAGTAGCCACCTTCGCGCACTCGCTTTAAATCCTGATAGGCCAGAGAGGAAACCATGGTTTTGGATACGGAGTAACCAACTAAAACAAAGCAATCAGGGGGTAACCAAGCACGTCCCACCTTCTTGGCCTCGCTTTAAATCCTGATTGGCCACAGAGAGAACCATGGTTCTGTATAGGAAATAACCAAATAATTCAAACCAATCAGGGGTAACCAAGCACGTGCCAGCCTCATGCGCTCGCCTTAAATCCTAATTGGCCAGAGAGGAAACCATGGTTTTGGATACGATGTAAACTACTAAAACAGCTGTGATACTCACGATAAAGGTGACACCTCGTTTCATCTGCAGTACGCAAAAAAATTTATTTACCTCAGAACAGTTTCACACACGACAGAAGATTTCAACTGAATACAGTAGATACAGGTATATCATATGTAGACTGGAAAGTCAGGGCCCTCATTTTAACCCGACGTAAAAATTGCGAATTAAGGACTGGTTGTTACCCATTAAACTCGACTAGAGCAAAGGTTCCAAAACCAAGAGGAAAAAAGGATTCTTAATAAAAAACTATTCTGCATTACAATATGCTCATTGTGCTATTAGTATTCCTGTTACGATTGCTTTTTGATATGTTTACTCAGTGTAACCGTCCAAAAGCTACTTAACTTTACAAGACTTATTGATGACACGGTTTCCCGCCCGCGCCAATGCTAGCCACATTATTTGTGATTAGTCCTACATTACATCATGTTACAATTTCTACATTTTATCTTAGCACAATAAACAGCTTGTAATTCACCACTGAAATTAGCGTTAAGTTTTTGCTTGTTTGCTTCTTTCACCAGAGTGGTAGTTTGTGACAGTTTCTCTCGGAAACTGTCCGACAATTTACGTCGGTTTGTTTCAAGACGTTAGGTTTGAAGTTCATAAAATTACATTCTATTCTAAATTTGGCTATAATTCTCGAGTTTCCTTTAGAAATTACGATTAAGAATAACAGTTAAAATTGAAATATTAAATACCCACCCCTAAAATAATTCGGCTTTGTAAATAATTCTACATCCTGTTTTTCAAAACAAATTCTTCACAGTTTTAAGTGAGTGTTCTTTAGGAGACTGAATATGCCAACTACAAAATGTGATGCAAAAGTCAAATTTAAAATGGCATAAACTCGTGCATGCTCAATTAGAAAACGTAATTCGAATGTAAAATGCCCTAGCTAACAAATACAATTTCAAGTATGTATTACACAAACAACACCAAGAAAAACTACTAACAAATAAAAATTGATTGCTTAGAAAACGATTCGGTTTGTGAAAAAATATGAAAAACGCGTTGTTCGTGGCTAAATGATCGCTTAACACGTCAAGTAAAACTGTGAAGAGCTTTCTGCGGTTTTGACTAACTGAAAACAAAAAAAGGAATAACTGTAATTCGGCAAACTAAACATCTCATTCAAAACATTACCACTTATACACAAACGAATGGCGAAGAAAAAAAAAAGAAAATTCTGAAAAAATTTTCGATCGCTCATCCTAAGATAACAATGAAAGTGAAACGTCGTTTGACAACCAACTTGAAAAAGAAAATATCGAATCATAACGTTATAATTCTGTCTCATGCCTAAATTGGTATTGTGTAACAGAGCTCGGTTGTCCAAAGCTGGATTAAGATAACCCAGGGTTAGTGCGAAATTTCAGTTCAGATATGGAAGCTTAAAAATCAAATTCAGTTTAATTCTTTTGGTCTACAAATTGACGACTGGAAGCTCTAAAGAAAATAGAGAAAATTATCCAAGAAAACGCTTTTAAACGAAAGAAAAAGAAACCTGGGATAAAATTTAACCCCGGATTAGCGCTAATAAGCCTTATCTTTAAACAACTGAGCTCTGCCGGTCTGACAAAACGCTTTCTAAACTTATTCCCACAAAACTATCAGTTTGAATGACCCTCTGTGGTACGCCTAGCCTGCGATACAGCCACCCCTCCTCGCTCCTCACCGCTCATTCGTAAACGATAGCTAAAACAATATAACTACTACGTCGACCAATCAGAGCTCCTGATCAAATTTCGCACAGATCTTACGTCATCAGTATGGAATTTCTGTCGCTGAGGTGCAGACGTCATTGCCGAGAAACGTCCCCAGCGGGTAGGAGTGGGGAGAAGCTGCTGTGTTCGTCGGCCATGGCGTGAGAAGGGTCACACGCTTCGTATTAGTATAATGTGGCTGAGATTGCTCTTACGACGACAGAAGAATCGTTTTATCTTACTCATGAAATGATCAGTTTGGAATCAATTTGAGATTCTGGGAAACTGCCCATCTACCCCTCCGCTAAGTCATCAATAACACTTCTTACTTGGGGCAAAATGTTGGGTTAGGGGAGGGGTAGGTCGGCAGTTTCCCAAAAACCTAAATTGCTCCTCAGTTGGCACCTTCCCTTAACCATAAAAAACAAACTGTGGAACAAAACTCATATACAAAAAGATTCATCGCTGCACGAGTTAAAATAACTGATCACTGCTTGAATATACTTCAAAATTTATGCCATGATTTTGCCTACTTTAGCCGAGAAATAACTCCCAAAAATAAAAGGCACCTTCCCCCGACAAAACTTAACTTTGAGAAATAATTGTCTCCCCAATTTCGATATTTTACAAATTATTTCTTTTTCACTTCCATAGCAAAATAAAATAAAGATCCTGTAGTTAGTTCCGTAACTTTCTCTCTACAAATGATATAATCTGTTGATTAGTACTACTCATTGTCAAATGAATTAAGCTTTAAAATAGCGCAGCAGTTTGAAGTGTAAGATTGCTCTGTCAAGCTTGCAAAAAGCTTAGTCAACCAAAAAATTTTTGGCATTAGACGGTGCTTCCAGATACAAGTAAGGCTCCTATTCAATCAAACCGAACAGACCTTTCTCAACTCACTTTCAGACTTCAAACTCTGGTTTTCTAGTGTGTGAATTGTTTGCTTGAGTGTGACAGAGGGTTTTGAAACCAGGCGTATGCTAGGCCAGCCCCGAACGTTCTGACAAAAAGGGTCTTCTGATGGGAATGAGGTTTCACCCTTACAAAGAACAAGTTGAGAAAAGTTTTTCGAAAAGGGGACTAAGAGATTACAAACTAATCTGAGCTCTAAGACGAATCAAGCTAACATCAATGCACCATCCTAAAATTCCCCCTTAAATCTTAGAACATGCATTATCAATATACATGATTGACTTCAAGTATCCAAGTATCTAAGAGTAGGACTTTACAGAAGCTCTATTCTCATTCAAATATAGCCTGAGAAAACAGCCGAAATTCCACGACGCAACTACTGGTTTTCCCGCCAAATGACGTCCGAGAAACGAGCGCAGAAATTCCATACTGATGACGCGTCACTACCTAGATCTGGATAGCGCTTCTGGTTGGTCGTGACGCGTGGGAAATTTGATTCAACCAATCAAAAGCACTACCAAGATCTGGGTAGTGACACGTCATCAGTATGGAATTTCTGTGCTCGTTTCTCAGACTTCATTTGGCAGGGAAACCAGTGGTTGCGTCGCCAAATGTCGGCTGTTTTCTCAGGCTCATTCAAATACCACACTCAAAGTGTTCCTTCGAACTGTTTTTTTTTTTAACGCACTAAAACCTTCCTTTGCAATACAGAAAAATTGTCAAGAAATTCATAAATATAAGGAGACAAGTGGAACAGGAATTAAATTTCAACGTTTTCGCTTGCGATTCAATTTGGTCTGTAACAATACTGACTAATTTTTTAATCGAATTTCTTAAAAGTACCTCTCTTCAATTTGCAGAAATGTTAAAAACTCGAAGGACTTTACATTTGTATCTTGACAGGCTTAAAGGGGAACTTTAAGATGGCGTTCAATCGTTATTAAGTTAAAATTGACGATGAATGCGTTCTGCCCAAAATGATTCGGGTTGAGATCTTCTGGATATATAATTGCTGACAGAGGTGAGACATCGAGAGTTCTAAGTTTAACGCTGAGAGATTTGCTTCTAGCTAACGAGTTCTCCGAGATAAACGTATACTTTGATTGCTTCTTTGTTTATTTGTTTATTTATTTATTCCATATGAAAAAATATTGCTTGTATTCTACAAAATATACCAAATTACATGGAATAGCGTGACGATACTCTTAAAGAATTCACATATCTGAGAAAAGACTCAGAACAAATAATATTAATATTTACTATATTATTAGAATATAAGTGCAATAATAATATACTGCCCGCTTCGAAGTAAAATTACGACACGAGGAAGGTCTTTTAATTTTTCCCCAGCCCAAATTGCTTTGCTTCTAAATATACTCTGTTTTATATTGAACTAATTAGAATTGTATTAAGTACCCCGTGTTTAGTGATGAGATAGTGCTATACCTCTAACAATTGATCGAATGAATGAATGTCCATGTTTCCGGTCCGGTCTAGGGATTGTGGGATATAATTTACAATACACTCTGATATTCTCATTTTCTCCTGTGCCATTGTTTATCAAGATTTGATGGCTTTGTGTGCGTCTCGGATGCGTTTTACACCTTCCTCGATGTACTCTATCATGTGAACCACTGGGCTGTAAAACAACAACAGACAAGTTAAATAAGACGACAAAAAAAAGTTTCCAACGACAAAACAACTCTCAAATAATCAAATAATTCAATAACAGGTATTCCATCAACTTTTGCAAAATGTGATAGGAAAAATAGGCTGTTCAAATATACGCTCTTTATAGGAAAAAAAATTACAAAAAAATATTTTTTTAATAGAATACTATTTTTACTGATAAAGAATTTTGATTTTGTTAATTCACACCAAAAATGCTTCACAGTGGAAAATGCAGATATCAGAATATGTCCTATTTAATGCCGTGTTTAGACTTGAGCGTGCTACCGAGGTATTGGAGTTAACTTACCTAGGTAAATATTTTGCGTGTGTAAACGCCAACTGATACCCTGGTAAACACCGCTGAAGACAATAGAAAGTTAACTAAGGTAAAAGTTCGGTTTGCCCTGCGAAAAGGCATGGTTAAGGTCGGTAACCAAGGTTTGGATGACAGATACATCCGCTTGCGGTCGCGTAGAATTTCAAATCCTGTGGTGTCGGGATTGCGTCAGGCTCATTCGATCACGTTTTCGAGACCAGGTTTTCGAGACTAGGTTTTCGACCAGGTTTCCACGTTTGGTTTCGGTCTACGAAGAAGTTATGGCAAAAACCAAAGACACAAAACACACACCATTCTTCAACAAAATTTCCGTTTAATAGAGTTTCGAACCAGAATTGGTTTCTCGGCCACGACCACGCACGTCTAACGCGCCTTGTCTTGCGAAGGGCAATTTGTAGCAGAATTAATCGCTTTCGCCTCCACCTCTTTAGGTGCTGCAAAAGTAAGAGCTGCTGCAAACTCGATTCCTGGGTTTGCTGATCAAGAACAAGAAAATAAAACGCGAGGACTACAAGAGCCACAGCTTCTCTTTTAAACGCGAGCATTTATGCGTGGATTTAGAATTTGCCGCCAATTCGATTAGATTGTGATTGATGACAGACTTACCTTAGTTATTTGAGCCCGTATAAACACTGTACAAATGTACCAGGGTTTAGTCAGTTAATGTTTACCTTGGTAAACGCTTGAGTGTAAACACAGCATAAGGGAAGTATGGGAAGATTTCTTGAAATATAGGCTCTTTATAAGATCTAAACAAATCATAGGATAAATAGGAAATAAAGGGGGTCTGGGATGCCTGCAATAATGATTAAGAAACCAAATACGTGCACACAAATTACTTTCAACGTTGTATAATTCCAACAGAAGAGTTGACAAACTATTTGACTGGCCGCTGTTATGTACAGGCCCAAACATATAAAGTGAGTAAGTTTCTACGATTACAATACAGTGAAAGGCCCTCTACGATGTCACTTGTGGGCCATTTGGTTTCAGTGGGTCATATTAAAAAGGACAATTTAGAGGGGAATACATGTAGCCGCTACATGTATTCGCGTTAACGGAGTTTTCTTTCCGCATAATCGATTGAGAATTCGTCTGGACAAATCAAAGTGGTTTTTAAAACAAGGTGGCTGCGTGTCGGGATCCTCTGCAGTTGCGGAATATAACTCACCCTCCCCCCCCCCCCTTCTCCTTGGCAACTGGGAATTCTAAAACTGGTATTTTAAAAGAGGTTTCGGAATTACCTGTGAAGTGTTAGTGGGCCACAAGTCCGATCCAAATCCATAAAGAAATCTGCCAAGGAAACAACAGGTATTCTTAACAATCCGGTACAGTGTGGAATATCAAGTTACTGTTCCATCATTTTACCATGACTAGGAGAACAGACCGTTATTTATGAGTTTCCTTATACAAGGATTTGTCATATTTGGGGTTCAGCGTAGTTTGACAGATTTTCCAGAGACACACTGTTTCATCTTCATAAATTAGTCAGTAACATGAATTTCTGAGATAAATGGGTTTCACATTTTAACATAGCAGAAGAGAGACAAAAATATTAAAAAACAGCAAACCTTTGCTCAGAAACTGAGACATGCCAACCCCTACGCCACTGCATTGCCGTGTTATCCCTGGGGGCCAGTTCAATAAACTTTAACTTTATATTAGGTATCCGGCTGCAGTTTAACTGGAACGTGCTATATAACTTGCACGTAAGACACCCTTCAAGGCATAACCTCACTTGATAGACCACTTGCACTATACACCATTTCCACCGCACATGACGTCACGTTCGCCGTATTGATGTACCAATACAATAAAGCGGCGGCCATGTTGATGTTCCAAACTAGGATCCTTTTTCTTAGGGAACACGTTTCTTTGGTTCCAATAAATTTGCACAACTGCTGACCATGTGAGTGAAAACGCTCTATCGTACCGAATTTTCAAAACAAAGTTCATCATCTTACCTCTGAATTCAAGGACGATTGGCTGCGACTGATCCCAGGTGTCTTGACTGTACAGTAGGTTGTTTGCTGTTAACACATGCTGTTGAGTCATGGCATGAATCTTCTGTGGTATACATACATTCACAGGAGACGTCATGGCACTGGAGGTAGATGAGGGTTTGCCATTCCTTGAGGGTGTGGTCATCGCTTCATTGCTGCCATTGCTCCCTACGCTGCCAACACTTCCTGACGGGGATGGTGTGGGGGAAAGAGGAGACGGGGTGCCAGTAATCCTAAAAAAAGAAAAGACAACAGTATTCTTCGTTAAAAACTTGTGTCCACGCATGGTTTGGCTGTTCCCAACTGTACACTCAACTTCTTTAAGGCAGATAATGTCGGGAATGGCTCTAAGTGCCTGTCTACGAAAGGTGTCCTTCTTATAGAGTCAAAAAAAAAAAATCCACGGAACGGCAGGAGATAACTGTAGATGTCCGCTAAGGGAAGGTATCAGGTGTGTCCACAAGGAGAATGGCTTCTGACTCAAACCTATTCTCCCGGCTCTCAATTGGTCAGAATGAGTGAAAACAAATACAAGTGCAGCAAAAACAAAACAAAGACGGGGGGGAAAGGAGAGAGGAGGAAAAGAGGGCCCTGTCTCAGTCCTTGCTCGTTTTTTGTTCACGTTTTCTTTTCCCTCGTCCAGCGTAACTGAAAGCTGGAAAAGGCTGGGTATTCACTTGCAAAGTAATGTTAACATTACAAGGTTTTTCTGTTGTCACATAAGAACACGGACATTACAAATCAGACTCAGTTTTATAATGTTGTAATGAATGTGATTCACTACTAATAGAATCCGTATACAATAGACAAAACACCTAAAACCAGCGTCCAACGCAGTGCTGAAGTTTGTTAATGCCTCTTCACTCAGTGTCATACCAATACTACAGTTTACTTACTTTGTGTTTGAAGTGTACGGACTTGGGGCTTGTGTGCTCTTTGGAGGACCCTAAAATACAAGAACAAACTTGTTTTAGTGAAATATCACAAGGAGAGGCAGATGATGTTCACTATTCTTTGAAGGTGAGTGAGTGGGCGTACTTCGAAAAAACAAACACAAAAACGAGTGAAAGAAGAAATTCAATTTGTATGTGAAATATACTTACCCTAAAATGTTCTGTGACCATCTGTTGAGTCAAACATATAGTGTATATTAGTTTCTACTACTTTTGAAGCAGGGTAAGTTAATAAAAGAAATATTATGAACACAAAAACCTTGACTGAAGGAAAAAGACAAATTCTAAATTTGGCGTTTACATTTGAAGACAAAACAAGAGAAAATACGAGGCTTTGATGTCATCCTACATAGTTTGCCAATATGGTAACCAAACAGAGGTTATTTTTGCTTATTCATTCTTAATGCTAAAGAGACTTTGATAATAAAAGTCTAATGGTTTAAAATATTCCATACTCAATTTATAATGAGAGAACAGAAGCAAAAAAGTAGATTATTTTGTTCCAACCCAAGTGGCGGGGCACCTGCTTATCTGCCAGACTATGGTAGTCTTTGCACTTGGCTGTTACGCAAGACTTATGAGCGGCTAAGTTTTACGTATCCAAAGATACGGGTGTGAAGGCCTAAGTAAAATTTCAAGTTATTGTACTTTGCATCTCCTTAAAGTCGGAAAGTTGAAACGATTCAAGAAAAGTTTCAAGTGACTTGAAAACCACCCTTAAACCGATTTTGTGAACTTGCGGTTTCTTGAGCTTTGAAAAGGTGAAGCATGTCAATCAATCTTAACTATATTGCATAGGAAAATAACTTTAAGTTTGTCTGAAGTAAAAAGGATTAATTGTGTGTGAAACTTTACCCTGGTCCCAGAGGTTTTTCTTTAAATTTTTCTTCGCCAAAAGAGAAAGAGCGAGCCGCGAGGAAAGAGAAGAAAAATTTCAAGAAAAACCTCTGGGACAGGGTAGTGAAGCTATATTTTACTTGAAGAATTTAAAATTTACAGGTCTTGAAATACTTCTAAGCTTATTTAGGCTTTAGTGTAAAGGCTACCTATAGCGCCATGCAGGGAAGGCGAGGTGTCACTAGGACTAGCCTGGACAAAAAGTACAATGTTTATAAATGTACCCAAACTTGATTTAACTTACCTTAATGTTTCGCATTATACTGTCTTTCCTCAGCTTGTAAAGTCTCATGTATAGGATCGACTGAATTCGCATGCTTTTAAAGGAAGAGAAAGCAACAAAATAATCATTAACATTACATGATTCCCCTGCAGCTGTATGCGAAACATTACTTTTTGACCAATAATTCTAGTACAGATATTAACTATAAGCATATTTTTTTCGTAAGTAGGTGGAATATAGTCGTCTGGCTGAGTGAAGTCCTGGCCCTGGTTGTTCAGATGTTGGATCGTGCTTTAAATGATGAATCACTGTCCAATGAAAATGTATTAGGGAAATTAACTGCATTATTCAGTGGATAGAAATTTATCCAGTGATTAGCGTTATCCACCTTTTGAACAATTGGAGCCTGAATAGGACTAAAACAATAAAAATTACAAGAATAGAGCTCTAATAACAGATCCTAATCAGAAGTGATGGTAAGAAGTTATTAAATCCTCACCATAAAGCAGAAAGTCTTTTATCTGGAACGTTATGAGATCGATGAGTATATCTATTCACGAAATTCCGCATTGTGTACCTAAGATGTAAATAAAGGCAGGTGTTAGAAAAAAGAGCTGAAATAAAGTGATGAGATTTGTGATTTTGATACTTTTCTGCTTGCCTTTAAAGGGCAAGCAAAACTAATAACAATGAAAGGAATTTAAGAATGCAAATTGATAAACAGGTTGGCTGTGAAGCATGACAGAAACTACTGTTAATCCTCTATTAAGCCAAACCCCCCCCCACCTCTCAAACAAGCCCTCTCACTCTAATAAGCTCCAATAAGTTCTTCAGGGGAAGAGCGTTAATAAGCCCCCTCTCTATTAAGCCCCCCACCCCTTCCCTAATCATTCTTCACTAATAAATAACAGACTTTATTAATCAATCACAACTGAAAAACTTTGCGTGGGCTGATCCGGGATGGTTTATTTACAACTGGAATTTTGGATTTGATTCTGATCCTCAGCTGCATGATCTTCAACCTTTTCCACTTTGTATTCTAGTTTTTTTAATGGACAACTGATACCATGGTCTTTTATTAATCAAATAAGCCCCCCCCCTTTCTCAAATAAGCACCCCATCTCTATCAAGTCCCCCTCCCCCCCACGCCTCAAATGAGCTTGAAATAAATTTAAATTAAAAATTAATTTTGCGTTTCACAAAATAACCAATAGGATCATATGTATTTCACTGCTGAGTACTCATTCTGTGAATTACAGGACAATGGAAAGAGAAGATATTGTCATAGGCGGGAAAAATTTTCTTTACAATAACATTACTAACTGTTCTCACTTTCTGTGAGGCCTTTCAAGAGGAATGAAGGAACCTGGGAAAACACTTTCTCCACCAGAGAGTGTAATGGAACAAACTGACCTGGATGCCCACTAAAACCCACCATAACAGCACTTACCTGAGAAGGTCAAGCGTTTCAGAGTACATTTGAAATGCAGACCGAGATTCTTCTTCATTTTGCTGAAGGGAAAAGATAAATAAATATTACAACACCAACAATTAGTCATGAACAATCAATCACATGGCTAAAATAAAAGTGGTGGGTTGTTGCCTCTGATGTCTGTAAGCATCTGAAACTAGTAGCAACCTGCCCATCCTTGACCTTTAGGAGAGCACCCATATTAAGAAAGCAAGCTGCTACATCATTTTAATATGCAAAAGTGACCAAGGAACTTATCATATTGGTAACACAGAGGAAAGCAAGCACCCTTTACACTCCAATATTCACACACAAATTCTAGACACTGATTTTCATACACTTCGTTAAAGAATTAGTGGAGGGAATCTGATATATGATAAAAGAATTTCCCCACTTATTCTCATAACCTTCTCCCTTTAAAATGAATAATTATTGCTGGGAGAAAATTGATGTTGGTTACTCAAGGAACTTTAGCTTATTTATTTCAGTGCTGATGATGACAAGTACTGATGCTCTCTGCTGATGAGCCTCTTCTCGGTGGATGTTTTCTTTTTCTATGTTAAACTGCCCACAAAAAAGAGATTGAACTAACCTCAATAGCTTTTCCACAACGAGCAAAGAACATCACTGCGTCAATATAAAAGAATGCTTTTACTTCCTTATCACTCTGCAGATGAAAAAAAAAGAGGAACATGTGAGTGCGATTATAGTCAACTATCAGAAACAAATATTACGTTACAGCAGTCTACAAATCATTATAATCAATTCAAGGCTGTAATCTAAGAAAAATTGAAGGGGGCCCAGTACCCTGAACATGTAAAAGCCACCATGCCTAACATGATTTCTATCAAAAAAACGTAAGATTTCCTAGCTGCCCAAAAGCCAACAATTACTGGAACCAGGGGTCACTGGGTACTGCTAGTGTATGGCCCTGATCATGAAGATTATGTCACGGTTGTTAGAGAACGTTTTGAAGTAGACGGCTGAGTTGTCAAAGTAAGAGTCCAGTCCAGGAATATTTTATTCAAAAAATGCCATCTGTAAAGAAATGCTAAGCAGAGTAGCTGGCCGATACCAACCAAGTAAGAAGTGATTTTCGCCAGCTGGCTACTTTTGACAACCCTGCTATGTATGAAATGCATACCATAGAATCTGCTTTGTGCTTGCGTCCCTTGGCTTCTGCAAGGTAGTGATCTGGTCCGTAAGGCCTGAACAAAAAATACAACAGTACATTAACACATCCACTTACAACCTTAACCAGGGGTCGATTTAATGACACGTTTTCAAGTATAATTTGTTTTAGAGTCTGGGAACAATAGCTACGCTTGTAAATTAAAACCTGTAAAAGTTTTATTAAATTGACTCCAGGCCACAATAGCAAGTAACTCTTTGGTACAACTTACACTCTAGGTTCTGGATCATACAATCTTGCAATATCTGCTTCTCTCTTGTCAATGTTGCTTCTTGCATTACATGAACACTCCTGGGGCTTTAAACTACTGTCTGTGGCATCAACCCCATTTTCTGACAATGTGCCATTCTGATGACTTTCCATAAAATTCCCAGACATTTTATTGCTTTCACTGTCATGTCTCTGACGCTTAATGCGATAACAATCCTCTTCATGACTTGGACTCCGTTTCCGATGACTGCCTTTGTTATGGCAACTGCTCAGGCTACTGTTGCTGAATGACGTCTCGCGAGGTTTTGTCCTTGAGAGGAAAGATAATACATTGTTAGGTAAAACTACACTTGCAAAAGCCAAGGACAAGGAAGAAGTGTACCCCTGGCAGCAAACTTTTAGTATTCTGAACATTTGACTCTGAGGAAAAAAGCAAACAAACAAAAAGGCTGGAAAAGGAAGTAGTTACGCATTCTATATCCTACATGTATGCACAAATCAGCATATAGGCAGAAGATGCAGTGTGTAAAAAAGCCTTCCTTTAACCTTTCAAAAGGTCCTTCTCTCACTTCTGCAAAACTGAAATTTCCTTTATAAAGAGTTGATGCCTTCCAAAATGGTTTGCTTAAATATGATTACTGGTAAATATTATACTCACTGGCTAGAATCAGCTTCACTTTCACTCTTCATCTTTTTAAGAGTGTCGCGTTCTGTTGTTGCATCGAACGATTTCCGTTTAGGAATCTTGACCTCTGGGGAGCGGATAGCATCCTTAATACCATTTGTCTCCTCCACAAGAGATAATGTGGGCTCTTGCTTGATAGGTTCATTCCCAGGAAGTCTAGGTATCCGTTTTAACAGTGACAAGTCAATTTTTACTATAAGAGACTCTGGCTTGTTCACATCGTCATAGGCAATTTCAACATTCTTACCCAGTATGTCCTTAGTTCTGCTTGGAGATATCAATGTAGAAAAAACTTTCACTCCATTAACAGGCTTATGCACTCCATTTACATTTACTGGCTTGCTTTTTGATTTTTTAGGTTTCTCAGTTTCCTTTGTCTTTGCAGCTGAAGCAGGTTTGCTATCAGTTTTTACTGGACTATTCTCTACACCAAGAATGTCAACGATAACATCTTCCTCGTCCCCTTCGCAATTTGATTTAAGTTCTTGTTTGGGAACAGGAAGTTCTTGTTTCGGAACAGGAGTAACTGAGTTCTTTGTCTCCGCCTTCTTTTTCGTTGAAGATTTTATTCCAACTTTTACCCCCTTTGCCATTTTACTGACTTTGTTTTTATCAATGCCATCACTAACTTTGGTACTTGTAGAATTTTTTGGAGTCTTTGTTTCCTTCCCACTAATCTTAACTTGCTTCTTAGGTGAGGGCGTCTTGTTGCTTTGGATCTTCTCCTGACTAGAATTCTGCTTGGTCCCTGGACCAGATGACTTTTTATCACCTTTTTTACTTGCCTTTGGAAGTGGAATTTTGACTGTCAAACCCGGATCATTACTAACAGGTTCACTAGGGGTCTCAGTTGCTTCAGCTTCATTCGGAAGGTCCAGTTTTGCCGTCAAAGACTCAATATCGATACCTTGATCCAATTCAGGACTGTTACTGAGAAGCTCAGCAGCAAACCCTAGACTGTCAGAAACTGGAGCCACAGGGCTTTTTATCGGTTTACTAGCTGCACTGGTGTGACCATTAAAATGCGAATTAAGGGAGCTTTTGTTCGAGTTAGCAGCTGGTGCAATCTGATTGCCGCGAATTCCATCTTCTCCTACTGTGTTAGCTGGTGATGGGCTTGGTTTTGTCTTTGTAGCAGGTGGTGTTGACGGCTGATTTAGTGCTTTTACAAAGTGATTTAAATCCCAGTTCCTTCCACTGGCAGGCTAAAAGAAAAAAAACAACCCTCATTAATAAGCAAAAGGAGCAGCACCACGAATTTTATCAAAATTCTAACAGTATGAACTGTCACTAAATTGAGGGAAACAAAAAAATCATCGCTCAAAAGATAAAAGAACATATTAATTACACTGCAAATACAAAAGTATGCATGGATGGACAAATTTGAAGAAGATTAAAACAGATTGAACTTGTTTGTTTTTGAAACTTGTTCGCCTCTCAGTTTTTCAATTTCAATCTGACATAGGTTTTGGCACACTGTGCTAGTGCAGTTGTTCAAAAGGTAGATAACCCTATCCACTGGATAAATCTCTATCCACTGAAAAGTGCAATTGGTTTCCCAAACACTTATCTGCTGGATTGTGATTTATCTGGTGGATAGCGCTATCCAGCGTTTAAACAACCTGGGCCTGATGTTGACAGTGACTGATGTTTCAGCAACCTGTGCAGTAGTCATCTTTAGAGTCAAAGTGAGGTGTGTCATGTCCGTTGATTAGTTCAGACATATAAATCTTCGACATGACTCAACCGTGGGACAAACCAATTTTTAATTAGCAAAAAATACTTCAATATTTTCCTGAACTTTGATACAGTCCTTTAGAATTCAACTCCAAAAAAATTTGCCAGCATTTGACGAATTAAATGAGATGGAATAAGCGCCCTAAAGTTTCAAGCAGCACAACTTCACTTTTTATGTGACGATTTCATAGCCACTGCCGTCGTGGTTGTTTAAGCTCCCTAATTATACACCACCTACTTATGAATCTGCATGTTCTCAACTCGCCTATCAGATTTTCCCCGAACTTAAATATGGACTTCTCACATTACATGAAATGAATATTTTTTCAAGTGTTGACCAAGAGAGATAAAGCCAAGCATAACAAACAGTTAATAAAAAAGCTCTGGAAACCCTGATGGAAAATGCTCTTATTTGCTTATTTTACTGTAGAAGTTTTTCTTGAAAAATACGACTTTCAAGAACATGTGGCCACAAACGGCTTTCAATCTTGATACTCAGATGGCAGCCTACGATACTTTGTAGCTGTGATTTAATTTTACAGTTCTCACCAAGTAACACTCCTACCTTTGGAGATGAAGAAGGGCTTTTCAAGGGTGATTTGATGGACTTCTTGTCTTTTGTATTGTTATTTGTGTCAGAGCCACTGGAATCACTATCACTGTCACTACTGTCTGTATCACTGTCTTCACTGCTACTTCCACTTGAAGATGTTGAATGTGAACGATGGCGAGAGATCCTAATGAAACACCAAAGCATGTTTTCATAAATTATTTTCAGTTTCACTGAGAAACACCTCAGCAGGTACAACACCAAAATTGCCAACCAAAAAAACCTTCTCACGATAAAAATTGATGAGAAATTAAATGCTCACATGTTGGTCTTGGATGCTGAGCTTGGTTGATGTTCCTAGAAGAGAGAGAGAGATAGAAAAAAGATAAATGAAGGCTAATTTGTTGATGATAGGCAGATCAACAACAAGGGGATAATGATCAATTAAAGGCTCTAAGGAATCCTTCTACATAAATCTTACATAAATTACATTGGTGCCAGTTTAGCACTCTGTTAAGTCAGAAATTATTCTTCAGAGTTATGCTTGTGAAGCAGGAGGCAGAGGATGGGGGTAAAGGAGGGGATTGCGTTATTCAGCACGTGTGTGTTGAGCTAATATAATAGAGTTTCCCCACTGATTGAAGCCCAGAAAATTATGTAAGCCCTTTCAGTTAATTTAATATCCTCAATCAGCGACAAAATAATTGTTGAGACATTGAACTCAAATAGGGTAACTTCAGAGAAACAAAAATCGCCATCCCTCCCCACACCACTCCATCCACAGTTGGGGTCTTTGTTGTCTTCTGTTGGTAGCTGGAATAGCGGCACAACATTGTATGGAGGGGATGGAGGATGGAAAGCTTTACTTTCCCCTTACCCCTTTTGAAGTCCATAAAACATCAGAAATGCCCTTTGAGGTAAAGCGTCTCAACTAATTTTGCCACCGATTGCTCATCCTTAGGCATCTAGCCACGCCCTTTCAAAAGCCGACTCAACATTTACATTTATGGCTATTAACAATGATAACAAGGCTTACATGCTCATCATCGCTTTCATCAGTCAGCATTAAGTCATCAGTTAATAGCACTTCTCCATTTCTATTTTCTTTCTTAACTTCTGTGCTTTCTGTTTAATTAGAAAGGAATCAACATGATGAATTATAATAACTCAAAGTTTCTTCTGTAAAATCATTAAGTAGGTAAAACTTCAAAAAAAGTAGGTTTTCACCCTTGCGAAATGAATTCCCAGCTTTCTGGGAATTCCTAGGAATTCTTGAGAATTCCTAGGAATTCCCAAAAATTCCCAACTATGCAAATCAGCCTTCATCAAATAAGCTTGGAATTCTTGAGAATTTTTGGGAATGGCAAATTAGGTCTCACTCTAGGCTTGGAATTCCTAGGAATTCCTAGGAATTCTAAGTTTTACAATTTTAGAAGCTTAAGAATTGTTGAGAATTTCTGGGAATAGAAAAATTCAGGCCAACTGGGCTTGGAATTCCTGGGAATTCCTAGGAATTCTAAGTTATGCAAATTAGGAATTCAGCTCAGGGATGTTTAAAAATCAGAAAGACTTTAAAAATTGTAGAAGATTTTGTAGTCTTTTCTTATTTTTTCACATTTTAATTTTAAGTGATTGCACTGAAACAATTCTAAACTTATAATACAGAACATACTGGTAATGTATACTTCTATACTTACATTCTTATATTCAACGCAATGTTACCTTAAATCTAGTAATGCTGACATGTGGCGAATGCTGTTCACAAACCTCCAACCAGTATTTAAATTAAGATAACAATTTAACGTATCTAAATTACATTATTACAGCAATAAATATTTAAAGCTGTTACATGTCCAGTACACTTTCAGTGCAAAATGTTGTCTGAAATGAGAAGTCTCGTTTTTAAAAATATGAAGTGCATTTCCAGTCTGAAATGTACGTTGTTTATCCACATACTCCACGGAAAATAGGCAAACGCACAAGACATGGGCTGTCTTGATTCCCTTCAACCCTTGCATCAGGAGTGCAGTCAAAAGCATGGCAAGCCCGGCCAAGCCCGGAACAACACGTTTTTCGTCGCAGTTCTTTGATTGATAATGTGGTCCAACATTTTCTTTCCCAACTTAAAAGAACAACGTTAAGTTTACTTCTTGCTTTTAACACTTCAAATGCGTTGCTTCATCTTAATTAACGTTGAAAATAACTGCTATTTCGACCCAAACGGGAGCACTTCGCAAGATGGACCTCGCAAGATTAGCCGCCATGTTTTCTTGTTTCCCAGGCTTCCACACGTGCCTTTGCCACATGCGCGATTTGATTTACTTTGTCACGTGCCACTTTTGAACCAATGGAAAAGTGCCAAATGAACTTCCGTTGAATAGTTCAAATTCACGCGGACTTCACAAGCAACAAAGTATTTTCGTAAGACTGTCTTTCTATTATCCATGTTATTTTCGAGACAAATTGATCAATTGCGAAGTTTGTGTTCACATAAAGCATGTTTGCAAGTGGGTTTACTCAGCTGGATTAATGTGGAAAGGTATGTTTTCTAATAACTTTGCGTAAATAAGCTTACAAAGTTGAAAGATGCATGCGAAGATATGCCATTGATCAGATCCCTTTTTGCTGCTTTTTGTTTACTGCAGATCGAAAGAACTGAACTCTTTGTTGCAAATAGTCAGTGGAATACTCTGAAAACTGTATGTTCTGGCGCTACAAGGTTATAGCCGACTTGTCAAGACCAATGTTAGATAAAATAGGAGAAGAAATAGCATAATAAGTATAAGTTTCCAATGGCTACTTATACAAGTTAGAAGCAATGAAATTTCCAGTTAATTTATAAGGACTTGAGACTTGAACTTACATATAAAATATTAGAATACAGCCGGTAGGTTTGTTCATTTGAACTTTAATTCATAGTATAGGTTGCATAAGGTTTTATATTAAATGCTTCTGGTACATGTAATCTTAATAATCGCCGCAATATTAAGGTAAAAAACAACTAGCACTAGCACTTGCCTGATGTGTGGACCTTCAGTTCAGAAGGCTGCATTGGCGACATTGGAAAAAGCAGTCATTTAGCTTTTTTTCATATTCATGCACTTTATTAATTATTCGAAGATGTTTATTTATATGCATGTGTGTGGAATGTCGTGATGTGTATGTTGGGTAAAATAAATTACAAAAAAGAGAATGTTCAGCTGATGTTGTCATTTGGATTAAAAACAAACACTATCTCTAGATTCCACTAACAGGGTATGTTTTTATATTTTTTTTTCAATCATGACTAGGTATATGTTACTTTACATTATCTCACTATCTAGAGATTCCACCTGAACAGGTTATGTTTTACATTTTTTTTTTCAATCATGACTATAGCGATAGTTTACTTTACACTACATGTATATCTATGTGTAAGTATATCTACATCTAAGTTTATTCATATGTTTATACTACTACATGAGAAATTTCTACAATTTGATTGGCTGAGAGAAGTGGTATTTCAGCTTAATTTGAAATACCTACATGTGAAAATTACAAACCTTTTACGGGTAGTAGTATAAACAACTAATAGCATGATTTGTTGTGATATTTGGCATAAACACCACTCGTGATATTTCAAAATTGTCTCAAATTTCACTCGCCTAATGGCTCGTGAAATTACGTATAACAATTTCAAAATATCACTCGTGGTATTTATGCCAAATATCACTACTAATCATGCTATTACATATACATATAAGGACTACAGTCATTATACTGAATTATTTGATTCCTACTTCACAAAAAGTCATTGTCTTAAATTTGATTTTTTTGAGGTCACTGTTGTAGTTTTTGGAACATTTAAACGATCAGTGCAGTGAAATTTTTAAGTCAAGTTAAAGCAGAAGAAGTATTTTTTGTTAACATGGAGAGCTATTTTTCAGTTATTGCTGGAATAAACATTGCTTCAGTTTTTGTACATTTGCCTTATGGGTTTCTGGTTCGGAGAGCAAAATAGCAACTTCTAGTATTAACTTCCTTAACATAAGGGTTTAAATGCAAATCAGTTTTTGATTCGAATATCCCTTAATTCCGGCAGCAGGTCGATTTGTTACATCCCTATTGACCTAGCTATTCCAAGCTATTCCAAGGAATTCCTAGGAATTCCTAGGAAATTCCTAGGAATTCCTAAGAAGTAATCATTCTGTTTATATTCTTTCAATTCCTAGGAATTCCTAAGAATTCCTAGGAATATTTTCCAAGCCAACTGATGGGTGAGCAAAGCTTGGAATTCCTAGGAATTCTTAGGAATTCCATGTTCAAATTACCGTGAAATTTCACACCTTGATTCCTAGGAATTCTTAAGAATTCCTAAGAATTCCTAAGAATAAATTCTTAGGAATTCTTAGGAAAATCCTAGGAATTCCTAGGAATTCTCAATTCCATTTCGCAAGGGCATCCTTAGCATTCTAATTAATTTGGACATTAAATTATTTCTATTTTGATCTTTTCAATTCAAACTGCAGACTGTTAAAAAGAGTCTTAACTCGCACCTATTTTCCCATCAAAGGAGCACAAAGAACAAGTCAAATACACATAAACAGACAGACAAACTCGAAGAAGAAAACAGATTGCAGTAATTGTGAGTTTTGCAAACTTGTTGGTCTAACAGTTTTTCAAATTTCATTTTTGTTGTTCATGGCATTTGATATAATGTTTGAGAAGACATAAATTTTATTATTAATTTGTTATTTGTTATTTACAAGTAATTTCTTTGCCGATGTTAAGTCCCATGCATAGAACTAAGGAAGTGTAATTGACAATATTAACAAAATCAACTAGACAGACATGACACAACCCCTTTGAATAAAATAGAACTGTACTTTAAGATCTCATACCGCTAGGTTTTCTCTTTGATGTTCCAATCAGTGGTACAGAGCTCTCATGGGTGATATTTCGGTGTCCAAATGCAAAGACTGAATTTCCTGCCTTGTTCGGTGTGTGAATTCCTGTTAGCGGTGGGGCAACCTGTTGCATCTCCTTTAGAAAGGAAAAAAATACTTATGTTATTTTTCATACAATAACTACAACATTACTTATGCTCTTATTACCCTTCGAGTGTGTTTGCATGAGTTTATGTAAACGAAATTGTAGCATCAACATGTTTTTCTGTGCAGGCACTGATTAGGAAACCACAATTTTGAACGAAGTTTTGAGCTAAAAACTCAACAAGATACTCTATTCAACCATAACTTTGAGGTTTGAGACTTGAAAAATCTGTACAAACATGCTGTATGGAAGTTTTTAGCATCAGTCGGCATTTTAAGTGAAAATAAAAGCCTCTCTTTTGCCAAACAAGAACTGGCAAAATTTTTTGTACAAGGATATAAATGACTACTAACGATTTCCCTTTCATTTGCCACAAACAAAGAGTTTTTCTTCTTTTTCTAGGGAAAGTTATTTTATAAAAAGGAATAGAAAACATTTTTCTGTGCTTGCATGGCGTGATATAAACACTCGAAGGGTTGGGACAATATCTTGAAAAGTTTTGCGTACCCTAAACTAAGTATGAGGTTTGCATAACTGTCTCGAATTCTGCCAACACCCTGTTGTGTTTATATCAGGTTATGTGAAGACAAAAAAACGTTTTCTATTTTTTTAAAATAGAAAACAAACAAACAAATTATAGACTGTAACACCATGCCATAGGATCTCTTTGACAAACTCAAAAGTGAGAACCACAGCTGGTCTCTTCTTCCTCATTCTGTAAAAAACACTCACATTAAAGGACTACAGAATGTCAAAAATGTAATTTTCACACTATGGAACAACTCATATTGGTAATGGGGTGAGACTGCTTTGCCTTTCCCTATTACAATAAATGGAAAACTTCATAAAAATAAACTGATTTCCCGCTTGGCAATACCCTGTAATTGACCTCTATGCCATTAATTGCAAGGCACAAAAATGCAAATCAGCATTTACTCACAACCAAACTACAAATTTTCAACTCCCCCATTAGAAGGATTACAATCAACAAAACTTGATCCGCAACTAAAAGGGCAAAGCTACCTATTGTACACAATATTAATCATAAAAATCTTTAAGTTTGTCTCTAAAATGCAAGTCTGGGGACAAAACTAACCAAGACAGTTTTCAAACAGTTTTCAATGTTGTTGTCTCTCTAATAGAGCTAGGGAAACTGTTTGGCACTGTACCAAAAATGACAGTAAGGATATTATTACCGCTATAATCTTTTCCACGTTGGCAGGTTCATTCACAGAATGATTTTCTTGCTGAAAGGGAGTGAACAAAATGAGTTACTAAAGAATTAAAAGTAAAATCATCGAGTAACTAACTTAGATATAACCAAATGTGGTCATATACTGATAAACCACAGGAAAACGTGGCCCTTACTTTATGATAGTCACCCAGCAAGGGCTAGATTTTCCAATTAAAATCTTTCAAAGAGAGATATCAATGAAAAAAGGAAGTACATTTGACAGTTTTTAAACAGTAACTGAATCACAGGAAATTTAAAAACTCAGATTCCTGTCCTAGTTATCTCTTATTCACTAAAACAGCTGCCCTTTTTCTCGAGTACTTAGTTTTCTTCTACGAAGAAATAACTTTTAGGCTTAAAAATATCTAACCACAATACCAGACAGTTGTTAGAACAGCTAAAAAGGATAAAGGATACCCTTCTTTCTATAAAAAATGAATCCACAATGTAAAAATTAAAAACCTTTTCAGAAAACACAGGGTATTGCATTCACTGATGAAAGTGGCATGGTAATGTAAAGTTTTGTGTAATTATTTACTTGATAGGTTATGCTCTACACCTGTCTCTGAGACTAAAATGACAACAGAATTGCTATTGGTTAGAGTGCTGTCAATATTGTAGAGTATCTTGGTAGCACTGATAATGGATGGATTGCAAAATTATATCTTGAAGGCAAAAAAAAAAAATTTAAATGAAGCATTTTCGTGTTTTGACTTCAAAGTTTAGCAATGAGCTTGATTCTCTGAAAGCTACAAAAAAAACAAAGGATGATTGAAGCAATAAAAGTGCTGTTCCAGTTGGTTCTTGTAACAAATCTTCTTTGTGTATTTGAGGCAAACCTCCCTTCTTAAAATATACACAGACTCCTTTGGTCAATCACCCAGTGGTCTTTTTAGACTTTTACGTGAAAATTCAGCATTTTAATTCAGTAACTTTTAAGCCACATGACTGGTGAGGAAAAAGTTAAAAGCTTTAAAGTTGTAAGGCATATGACTATTGCCTTCGAAGATTAGTTAAGGAAGAGCAACATATTTGTCATGAGCAAGAAAAGGCAACTACATTTAATGTTATCATTGAGTTCAGTTTTCAGCTCTAATCAAGAACTCTTATCATCAGCTAACATTTTGCACACATTTAATTTCACAAAGAACAACGATTTGCTTTAATTAAAATAGAGTTCTGATCCATTCAGCTGGCTGAATGCTATACTTTCATATGAGCTAAGAACATTTCATCTTGTTTATTATGCTAATCAGAATACTCAATAAATCAAGTGAACATAAAAAAAAAAAAACAAATTTTTGTCATTAAAGGGAATTAAAACAAATTGTAAAAACACTCATATGCTGCTGCTAAATTAAAAATAAATGAGAATGTTTACAACAGATCAGATCAGATCTCTTCATGTTCAAGACATAACAAGTATTAAATTTTCAGCTAGCATCTGCTACAGCTGTATGTGTTGTAGGTATAGAAGATTTTCATCCAAAACAAACCAAATCAATTGCAATCAATATGAGATCTCTCTGAGTTTATGCAAGTTCTTTAAGAGCACAATCTACTGCATTGTACATTTGAAAAGACAAAGCTTATGATTTGTGTGCTGTGTCAAGTTGATTAATGATTCTAAACAGGCCTCTAAGCTTTAGCTTCCGAGGGTGTTTGCCATCCAAAAATAATCATTCACTAGTTAAATATAGCAGCTGCCCACACAGGAACCGACCTAGAAATCCTAGCATAGTAAAACATAATAACATTGGTGTAAGACAAACTGCTGCTATAAAAGCCATTCTCCACTCACGGTGCCTCGTTGATGTATTACAAGTTTGGCAAAATCCTTTTCCTTAAGATTTCTACGTTTATTTCACTTTCCAGACTTAATAATCCTGATGTGAGCATTCAGCTGAAAACTCCTTAGAAGAACTTTTGCAATACAGCTGTTAGTATATACTTTTCAATGCTACAAATTTCAGGTTTTCTTGAAACAAACTGACCTAGGTTAAAAACAGATTGACCTAAGAAACAAATTAACCTACAACAGATACAATATTAAATTTTTATAATAACCATACATTTAAGTGTACGAGCTTTTTTCTAAAAATAATTATTTTTTAGGAAGTAAATAAAATTTACAAGTCAAGAGTTGTGATTTTTCACATACTTCAATTAATTTTAAAGTTCAACAGCTTTAGTAGTTGGCAAAAATTCAACAAAGTTATCACTTTTGCTAAACAAAATATTTGAAAGCTGTTTTCTACCTATGTGAACCACAAAGGAAAAAAAAAACGCTTTGAAGATATCTAAAGATATGACAATAACGCTTAACAAGATACTGATTGATCTCCAAAACTTAGTTTAAGTCACTATGAACTTCTCGCAACTTTGCGGTAATCTGGTCTTTATGGCCATATGTATATTATCAAGTTAAGAGGTATGATACAAAGAGACCAAATTTAACAAAAACACTTGAGTCTTGAAGATAAACAATACGTACAAGAAAACACAAAAGGACTGGCAAAACAACAACACAAGAGAATTAACAACAAAACAACATCACAGGGTTGCTACATGAATATTCAGCAATTATTCAATGTTTAGGGGCAAATATTGCACTTCATTCGATATGGTTATAGATTTTCAGGAAACGATAACTATTCCGATGTCCAAAAAGTGGCAGTCATAACACACCGCATCACCAATGTCTTTCTATAAAACTAACACAATGACTGAAGAAAAGCTGCATCATTCCAGAGTAAAACAATCTAGATACAGGTGATATGCTCTAATGTAGTTACAGGTAATCCTGTATTTACATGTAGCAGACCCCGTATTTTGCAGACACTATACTAAGTGGACAAATAACTGAGTATGCTCCTGTCTCTTCCCAACAAATCTGTATTCAGCGGACACCTCTATTAAGTGGACACCAGCCAATGTCCGATGAGTGTCTGCCTGATACAGGTTTCAATGTATTATAAGATGAAAAAATACAAAAGTTGTAATGTACATAAACTGGCCCTGAGTGTTTGCAGCTAATATATCATAACAATATACACAACCTGTTGTTTTTCTTTTTTGTTAAAGGCTGCCTTTATCAGTGTACAAGGGCTTTGACTAAAAAAATGCTGATAGGTAATGCTATTGACAGCATATTAAAAGGCCATAATATTATTATCAATTCTAGAAATTCTTTGTTCTAAAAAACAAAGCACTGTAGCATCAGCAACTCTCCCCACCCTGCTGGAAATTACAGTTTAGGTCCATAATTTTCTTTCGTAATTTTAGCTTTTAAGTGCCCCACCCCCTACCCCAACCTCATCTCCCAAGGGGAGCATGTGGGTAATTCATTTTCTGCGACCACTCAACAACTCATTTCATTGGCTCCATAACGGTATTGTGGAAGAGATTTGTAGCAATAATAGTCCAGTATTTTATAAATTTAACACATTCCCATGATTCTCTGAAACCAGGCCTAAAACTGTAAAGTTTATGTGTGAATTCATGAAAGAGACTTAGACAAAATTTCTCACCTCTTCTGAAGCAGTGGGTAAACTCCTGCTGAAGGAAAAGAGGAAGAATCATTCAGGTGTTCATAATTATGTTGACAATAGTTATCATAACCATTTTGAAAATTTGACATGTGAAAAATTAATAAGACTATAGCTGTTAAAAGTGATAAAGAAACGAGACGCGACTGGTAACTTACTTTTGAGCAGTACTGTATAAAGAAACAAGTAAAAAATAACACGGATATTAAAAAACGCACAACATTTCAGTGTCATCTTGACATCATTTTCAAGTTCAAAATGATTGCTGATAGACTGACAAAACATTTTTCTGGCTGATGATTATCATATATGTAATATGCAGAGTCACACAAAAAGTTTTGCTCGAATTGAGGCCGACAGAGAAATCTGCAACATCTCAAAAAAATATAAATATTAATCCAAATATTAATCCTGACCATCAAAACTGTCATGTTATTAGATGGAAAAGTACCAAAATCTATGACGGACAGCAAGTTAACCAAATGTTTACCCTGTCTACGTGATGTTTTCCAGTAAAGCTGTTTTCCAACAATGTACATTATACAAATTGCAGAGAAAAATTTCATTCAGACTTTTCACTCAATTTCTCAACCCCTGCACATTTGACCCCCTTAGCCTGAGAAAACATGTTGTGATGCCACAACTGGTTATCCTGCGAAATGATGCCTGAGGAATGACTGCAGAAATCCAATACTGACAAGGCTGTACTCTAGCGGAGCCCAATGGCCCCTGATGCCTAATTTTTGCTCCCTCACAACCAGAAAATCTTAGTTTTTTCAAAGAAAACATAATGTTGGGCACCCTGGATTTCACAGTTTCAGAGCACTGGAATCCCTTCTTAGAGCACAGCCCAGGTGCTGATGATGTTTCACTACCCAGATTTGGTTAGTGCTTCTGATAACTGAAGCGAAATAATTTCCCCCATGGCATGACTATTTAAAAGCACTACCAAGATCATCATCAGCATGGAATTTCTGCAGTCGTTCCAAAGACGTCATTTTGCGGGGGTAAACTAGTGACAGCATCGCAAAATGTTGGCCGCTTTTTTAGGCTATGACCTATGATGTCTTTTATTAAATGTAGCCAACCTTTGTCCCTAAAAAAGAAAATACTTTTAATACCAACACTTTTTGTACCTGTCAGGTAGTTTAATCTTGGGAGGTTTACTCTTGCTGGTTGCATTTGATTTAAGCATCTGCCCTTTGGAACTTTCATGGTTCTCACTCTCATTTTCACTCTTGGCCTTTCCATCCTTTTCCACTTTAACTTTAGCCTTTGAATTTTCTTCAAGTTTGACCTCTTTGGAGTGTGACTTCAACGCACCATTAACAGCTGGCTTAATTTCCAACTTTTTGGCATCCACTTTGGACAAGTTTTTTTCAACAACAGGTGGAGATTTTAAATTTGACAGAGAAGAGTTCTTAGAGGAGGCAGCAGAGTCTTGTGATTTGATCACCAAAGAAGACTTAGAGGCACTATGTCCAGAGCCATTCAAGAGTCCATTGGCTTTGTGATTCTTTGTTCCATTAACCTCTTCTTTAACTTTGACATTAGAGCTATTGAGTGTTCTTTTTGAATTCTCCTGGTAGTTAGATATCATGTTGGGAGCCTTGGCTTTCTTTAGCTCACACACTTTCTTGTAATCTTTACTCTTTGTATCAAAGTTGAACTTGTTTTCGCCATCAACAGGAGTTTGAGGAAGTCTTGAAATTGGGATGCCGAAGAGATGATTTTGATTTTGAAATACAGACGGTGCTATTGTGTCAAATTTGCCCAGAGTGGCCTATTGAAACAAACATGTAATCAAGAAATTTAGATTGATGACAGTTTTTATAGTCTGATTCGTAGCTTTTTGTTATGCTTTCTTGTTACAAGAGCATTGACTGTACTTTCCTGAAACACCTAATGTGCTTTAAACTTCAGCAACTCAAAGCTTAAAATGTGGACATGCTAATTCAGTAGTCTTTCATAATGGTGATCTTCCCTTCTCCCAACCCTCTAAATACATGTAGCTTTAGAAACGAAAGAAATGTATTCCTGCTCTTTAATTTTTTTTACACAGTACATGAAGGTAGACTCGTTCAGGGTACAAAGAAAGTTTGTTTAATTTACAGCTTGCCATTTGGGCAAGCTGTTACTTGCACGTACTACCTCAAACATCCCTAAAAAAGCATTTGATGAGCAGGATCGATTACAGTTTTCTGTAATTTGAATTCCAAAAAATGTCACTTTCCCATTTGGCAAGTTGAGAACAGCAAAATCTACAAGCTGTCGGCTATCGGACACTACTTTCTTTGCACGCTGCTCATTTTTTGAGATTGACTTACCAAGACAAATTTCAACTGAAAGGGGAACTTACATAAACACTCGACAAACAAAAATGCATAACTAACATACCCCACCCCAAAACTCCAATAGAAAACAGTCCTTGAAATAAGGGATCTCACGTCAACTATTTCAATGTCAATGACAAAACATTAACTTATGCTCTCCCGAAATTCAATCAGTTCTCATATTGGCCAAATGTAAACACCTCCTACACCTCGATACCCTTGGGCTATTGACCAGTAGCATGAGGTGCCCAAGAAAAATGCTTCAGGAAAGCAAAATTTATTCTTGGTAGTAAAACCTAAAGATGCTGGGAACTTACACTGTACTTCTCAGCTTTTAACCTCATGGACTGATTCCTTCAAATTAATTTTGGGGAGAAGAAGCCTTTTTTCTTTCTATCTTTGAAGATTTCTTCTTGTGATTCTCTTTCATCTTCTTTTTTTAAAGCAAATGTAAATGCACAGCAAATACTCAAATGCAGTCATTAATGCTGTGATCCTTCAACCTTGTCTTGGGTCAATATGGAAACACAAAATGTGACTGCTATGTTTGAGTTCTGTGAAAATGTTAAAATAACATCTTCACTGGCATTTAACAAAATGATGATATTAAAACAGATTAAACCAAATTTTTGCCTCAATTTTTGGTTGTACATGCTCTTTGGAGTAACGGAACTAAACAGATTTCTATAAAAAGCTAACAGAATAGTGCCACTAGAACCTACATCATAATAATTATCTAATGTACCTGAATTCTTTGTTGGAGGGCATCCTGTGTTGATGGCTGCACCTACCAAGCAACATGAGTAACAAGATAAGTACTGGAGAAAACAAACAAAGCACAACTACAGAAGACAGAAGGAAAACATTATTTGGCATAGAAAATTTTAAACTCAGAGCAACAAATTGAAGAATAGATGTAAAATTGAATATTTTGTTCGAATTGCTTGAACTTCACCAGCGATGTGAAATGTCAGGTTATGTGACCGAAAGGTTGTCTTCACCAGAGCAGATAACAAACCTTTTTGGTTACAGAAAGACAGTTGCTAAGAGTTTGAGATCAAGTAAGTTTTTAAAATTGGGTATTAACCTATTCACTCCCAGACAGGGCCTAAGTCAAAATTCACCAAAACTACCAAATTTCATGTCATAAAATGCTGAAAAACAAATGGTACCATGTGAAAGAACTGCCAAAGAGGTGTCAATTGAATGGTCACACCAAAAGTTTTCATCAACAGCCTCAAAAGTTAAAGCCATGTTACAAGACTCATATTCATCCTGGGCGTGAAAGTGCTAAGAACATTAATTATTGTTGAAACAAGCCAGCAAACACAGAGTTTGTGTTTGATGGTCAGAAGACAAAATTGAAATGTACATGTAATATAATACTCCGCATATCCAGTTTAGGTGTTTAACACATTACATAACACATACCCTCCTGGGTTCTTCAAATAGGGGAATATCACCAGTGTTCTAAAAAAAGAAGCAAAAAAAAACTACACATTAGTTGCCAAATAAGAGGAGCATGAAAATAAGTGGGCAATTTCACATTTCAAAACAGTATTATTGACTGTGGAGCGAGATGTGTTACATCAACCACGCCACAAGAAAAGCGCCGGATATCGGTAAGACAAAGGTGATTGTCTCATAGAGGAATGAAAACACCCCACATGTGTGATATAAACCTTGTTGGGAACAAAACAATGGCCCAAAAGTTCAGAGAGTTGTCCACTGTTCAGGCCTTTGAGGCATATGTACACTGAAACAGTAGCAGCATCATGTATCGACAAGGATCCACACATACATGATGCAAAGCAATTGCTACTTTGTTAGACTGTGTCAGTATCCCAGCAACTTTTATGTTACTCAGCACTGTGCATTATTAAACTAATAAGAGACTTATCTTAATAACTTGTATTAATAATTCCTAACAAAAACTAATCAGTGCTCCTCATGCAATGACATTGTCTTTTAAAAGAAGGAAAGCAGGTGGAATAAATTGTATTTTCTCCACTGAAGACAGGGCTGTCATTAAAATTTCAAGTTGCCAGGCTAATGATACAAGTAGGCGGGGAGTCCAACAGCTAGGGATTTTGTTTGGTTTAACATTTCTTCCATTTTCCTACAAAGGTAAGCCGAGGTCACGTTCATAATAGGTGGGGAAAATCCATGGCTCCCGACTCTTAATGACAGCCCTGGAGGACGACAAATTAAAAGGTTTAACATTTTTTTAACACAAACATGGTACAGACAATGTTGATTGAGATGAAAAGCTTGATACAAAATAATGTAAAGCTGTTTATTTCTACATTTTAAGGCATTGTTTTAAATAATCACAGTGTCATGGGAAAAACTAAAACAAAATAACTACTTTTAGATTGCATAAGTCAATCCAAGTTTCCTTGGTAACAAGCATTACTTTCATTTTTAAAATGGTAAAAATTACTATTATTACATTTTGTTTGGTTCTATATTGCTTCTATTTTCCTACAAAGGTAGGCGGAGGTCACATTCATAATAGCTGGGGAAAATCCCTGGCCCCCAACTCTTAAAGACAGCCCTGCAGGACCACAAATTAAAAGGGTTAACATTTTTTTACACAAACATGTTACAGACAATGTTGATTGAGATGAAAAGCTTGATACAAAAGTAAAGTTTATTTCTAAATGTAAAGTTTATTTCTACATTTTAAGCGATTATTTTAAATAATCACAGTGTCAAGGGAAAAACTAAAACAAAATAACTACTTTCATAATAGATTTATCACTGTTAGATTGTATAAATCAATCCAAGTTTCCTTGGTAACAAGCATTACTTTCATTTTTAAAATGGTAAAAATTACTATTATTACATTAGATATTATATTATTTTCTTAACTCTGTTTTGATCACTATAAACTGTGGTTGTTCAAGTATTTTTTGGGTTTCAATGAATTTTATATTCCTCCATTTCAAACTCGGCAATGTATACAACCATACCCCAAAACAAAGCAATATAAAAACAGTCCAGTCTTCTGCCCATGACAGGGAGACATGCAGCTAAATTGAAAAAGTGATGGACAGCAGTGTGGGAGGTTGCAGGTTTGATCCATGGGGGGTGCAAACACTTGGTAACTGACCCTAACCAAGTAGTGAATACTAAAATGTGTTAAGATTTTCATCCCTCCCACAGAGGATTACGTAATCACACCTGATGAGGTTGTTGACGGTCAAGCAATATATTGCTTGCACTGTTAGGCCCAAAAGGAATGTATGAGATGTTCTTTTTGAAGTAAGGACCAACACATCTAACAGATAAAAAATCACAGCATTTTGTACTCACCGATGGCTGCCTTGCTAGTTTAGCCCTTCGACGCCGTTCTTCTTCCCTCTCCCTTTCATGAATAGCTAATCTGAAAAAAAAGATTCAAACTGGTATTAAGCATTTACCTAGAATAATCTACGAAACAAATACAAGCCGCTTTAAACTACATCTCATTAAACAATTTATTGCAGACCTTGCCCTAAATGATAGGTCCCAGTGAGTTACTTTTAAGCCTGTTTTTGTGGTGTTTTAACATGTATATGACCACATATAATTAAAACACTTCATAAAAAAGGCATGGCAAAAAAAATATGGAATTGTGCAGCAATACACATGAGCAACCATGAAGAAGTTAAAAATGGCTTCTAGGGTTTAAATATTATTGAGTTTTGTAATGAAAACGAACACAGTATAAACCCCGAAAAATAAAACGTTAAGCACAGTTTCTGATGTTTTTCTCACTGAGTGGGCTCACAATTAGCAAGACAAAACAATCATGTAGAACAAATATAAAGATTTTCCTTAGTCATAATATAGCCAAACTAAGTGTATCAATGCTTGATGGCCGCTTAATAGAGGTGATGACAATAGGAGAACCCTGAGGGATGGCCAAAAGGTGGCTGCAGTCAGGTTGCCGCTTAACAGAAGCTTGACTTACAACTCTTTTCTACAATAAATTATTATTCTGGCACTTTGGTTACTGGCCGTTTAATAGAGGGTGGCCACGTAAATGAGGTTCAACAACACTTCAGATGAGTACATCTACACAACTTGTTTCTTGAATGAGCTTCTAAAACGTAATGAACATATCAATCATCTTTGTTGTCATCACCACCTTCTACCACAGTTAATCCCAGCTTGGTATTGTGACACTCTTTGTTGTCAGTGACTCAGATAATTATTTCTTTGGCCGGTTGCTTCAGTTAAGCTCATTAGAAATGATAAAATAAATTTGTCCATATTCCAATTTCATTGACAAAATGGGGTTTAGAGTCATGCTTAAGTATTAAACTTCACATGCATATACATGCAACCACCAACAGATTCAGATGCAAACAAGAATAAGTTAATTAAACAAGCACTGTTTTAAATGCAAGGTTATTAAGAAGCTTCAGAATGTGCTACCCACATTACAAAGAACTAATCCAATTTTGGAGAAGTCTGTTCAAATGATCACGGCACGCAACAACAGTTTAAACTAACTTCTTATCCTAGGGAAGGTTAATAAATCACACTAGTAACATACAAGTAAAGAAAGGCTCTAAATTGTGACTTGGTAAAAAATGGAATTGAATTACTTACACTTCTAATATTTGAGACCAGATTCTCTCAAAATCTATTCTTAATTATACAGAAGGACTGAACCTTTAACAATCCCTTTGCAAAAAGAATTATAAACAAGTCGTGCAAGATGAGGATTATTATCCCAAGAGACTACTTTTTAAAGCTTACCAAGCTATTAAAATACAACATTTTAAAAAGGCACATTAGCTTGCACCACTGAGCCACATCAGGTAATCAAGGATAAAGTACTTAAAGCAGACCACAAAACAGCTATATTTAATATTTGCAGAACAGGGCCTTCTAAAAATATCAATCCAGTTTTTTTTTTCATTTTACTACTTCTGCAAACAAACAGATTTTTTTTACTAGTATAACTCACACACCCATAAAAAACTTACACATCTAAACTGCACAGGTTCTGTACATTTATGCTTACGCTCTTCAGTGTTACTGGAGAAAATACAAAATACATAATATTTGGCCTGAATGACCCTGCATAACAATATGATGATAAAAATCACCTGATATTGGCACTGCTGACAAACGCAGCATTTAAAATATTGATGGTACAATTTCTATTTACAATTTCTAGGTGAACATGCCGTACCACATGTATCTTCCAAGTACAATGGCTGCTCTAATTTACAGCATAAGTGGATGCAGGTTTACAGGACATTGGCAACAAAAAGGAAAGTTTAATCATCTAGACAATGATTTGACCTACTGGTACCATAAAGCAACTTTAATTAGCGGGAATGCTCTGTAAAGGATAATATGACTGTTCCATACTTGTAACTTAAAACCATGTAAATTAATTTTCCAATATGAACATGTTGAAAAAGGGCATTGGAATTGGGGAACCACATCATAAAATTTTATTTTGATGATTCAAAACAAGTATCAGTTTATCTTGTAGGAAGCTGGCCATTAAGGGGTTTTCAATGACATTTACCAGCTGTAAAAAATCTGTACACCAGGAAGTATTTCTCCTTAATATCATCACAGCAGAATAATAAGCCAACGGTCAAGGAACAATGTACATGTAAGATAAATGTACAGCACAAACAAACACTGCAATACACCGACAGAGCTAATGCTCAAAGATATAAAAGTGATCCAAATTCATTGTGTGTGACAGAAAAGTACTGGTAAAAGGCTACACTCAAAGGCATAACATTGAATTTTAAACATTTTCAAGACATCAGTTAAGAGAAGGACATTCATCAAAAGACTAGAGCGATGGTTAAAAAACTACACAGGAAATACAAATGTGTTATATATGTTGTAGTTCAATTTTATCCTTTGTTTTGGGGTATGGTAATGTATGATAATGACTTTGAAACAAAGGAAAATAAAATTTAAACCAAGGATAAAATTGAACCACAACATATATACAGCTGTAACATCACATGGGTCAGTCACTCAAAATTAATGGCCCTTCCAAATTAGCTCAGAGTTGGTGCAAGTTTGTGTAATGATTGCAGTATTTTCAAAAACAATTAAAGAGCAAAAATACCTTTCAGTACTGACATGTATAACTATTTCAGACTCATCAGAGTTAAAAGATGTAAACATTGGCTTTCATTACCACAGGGAAATATTAGACAGGCTCAAAATATATGCACCAAGCTTTTCCTAGAACATTGCTGTTAAAGATTACCCTGTTCAATATGATGAATCTCCCAACAGCAAATCACAAAAAAACACATAGTACCATGTAACCAAGATTTCCCTTTAAAAGTTGTTTTAGGTCAGGTTCTGTTCTTTTCCTTTTTAGGAATTGTCAGCTTGAGTCTGATCTTTACTTTTGGTCAAGAGCATGGTTCTAGATCTCTAACTATATTTTAAAAAACAAGGCTTAATAACACTACCTAGCGAGCAGAACCCCTTAGGTTTCTCCCCCCAAAACAGGGCGTTTTTTCTCTTCCTGAGTTTTCTAGGAAGTTCTAGTGGTCTAATAATAATAAATACAACACGGTATTAATGAAACATTAATAGTCTGTCACCATAAGATTCAAACATCATGATCAGCTGATTAACTAGATCCCACTTACATATGCACAGTCGGTAGTGTAATATCACTACTTTAACTATTAATGAACAAAATATGAATGAGCGTAAAGTAAGCCAAAGATCATTTTGGGACAGACAAAAAAAAAACTTGCAAAGAACACCAGTTATGTGAATTGAAATGTTAGCCTCATTAAAACTGGCCTTTGTCATCGTGTCAGCTTTGCAATCAAACTGGATTTTATAGGAGCCAAGACTAGAGGCTCAGTTAATGGTTGGCAGATATGTCCTGCATAATCTTTTTGAAAAATTGTTTACTATGCAACTAGCCATTTAGTCAACTGGTCAGACACAAGGGATTTATTAGAAAGATTTAGGATTCAAACATTGACAGATTTCGTACCTCCAAAGGGTACAGAGGAGATTTCAAAATAATTTCAGTAGAAATGAATTTTCAGAACTATAAAATGGAAGCAAGACAAGACCTTAAATAAAAATGAAAAATATAATGTGAACAAAAGTGGAAGAAAAATTTTCCAAATGGTTAATTGCTTTCACAAATGGAAAAGAATGGTGTAATAACAACTAAAACAGATTGATATTTTTAATCAACCAAAAAATCCCACAATTTTAAACTTTTCGGTCTATTTTTTGCCACCTTTTTCAGTCTTAACTTCAGTAATGGCCTTTCTGATAAACTTGTTAACAATATAACTTTAGACCTTAGCTAGATACCTTCAAAAAAAATTTTTTCCCGTGCCACTTTAACCCACAACCAATCAACAACACATTCAACACCACTCAAGTCAAAAGCTTGCAACCTGTTTGATTTGCCTTATATGAGATAAACTCACAGCGCCTTGCTAATGTCGACGCCGAGTAAGTTGATAATGAAGTTAATTCAGCGACCAGCTGAGTATAGAATCTATGTCAACGTTCGCGCCAAGAAGTCAAATTTCTAATGTTCTCTTTACTAAATATTTTCAACACAAAACATGGACTTAGATAATAAAATCTATGAGCATATTTTGTGAAAGCATTTTTCCACATAAACAGTTCTTGATATGAAATGGAAGAAAGTGTCTAAATGTACGCTCTAAAGAGACACTGCATCACTATTAATTGCGGTTTCGGGACATTTCTAAAATAAAAAATATATATATATATATATGTATTCGTTCCCTAAAACTCAGGAAGTTGAAATAATTGATTTGGATCACTTCTTCGTACTAACAATCCCTAACGTTTCCTGCCGGGGTGAGCAACAAACAAAAATAAACGAAAGAAAAACTCGTGGCTAAAGAAACCAATTTGCATCGCATAAATGTCCATTTCAGGGAAAAGATCTGTTATGAAGATTGTAAAGGTCTTAATATATGACGGAAGCTTGCCCGTATGAATACATCTGTCTGTAAAGAGGTCCTCTGAGAGACATCGCAAAACAAACGCGACAAAACGTGCCCATTGAAAAGTGGATAATATTCTTAATTTAACTCGTACTGGACGAAGATTAAATCTATTCGCGTTCCTTTTCCGAGGGGGGGTCGTCACAAAAGTCGCATCTCAGTTCTACACTCGGGGAAGCTGATCAATCAGTGAATAAAAACGGAAAAGGTTAAACATTGAAAAACATCGATGAATCGTTTTTGATCATAAACAAATTTACCACCGGTCTGCGTACCCTTTCGTATCCACCCCTCACAACACTCGTTTATTAAAATAGACTGGCGAGTTTAGTGGTAACAGTGGATCAATGGCACGGAAAGGTGAATTCGATTTATTTAGTACATGTCTAGCCAAAA